TTCAACTCCTGGACCCTCTTCCTCGTCCAGCCAACCATCATCATCAGACGCCAAACCTGAATCTTCAAGTTCTTGAATTTGTGCGCTGTCCAGCGTGTCGCGCTTCCGTTTTCGAGTGTGGCCATCAATGTCAACATCCAAATGTGAACTCGTCAGTTCTCGAAACTTAACGGTTAGTTTTGGTGATGGCTTCTTGTTCTACAAGATACAATAGTGAGAATATGTCCATGATATGACATGACGCAAATATCACGCACACGTTTGGGGTCCATGACTCTGGTGGGTCGGGAAAACGTCCTCGGCACCTGAACAGCAGATAAACGAAATGCATGATGGGAACCTCAGTCCCTGTACTATAAACGAATGAATACATCGGACTCCGGCTGTGGATTCGTTTCGAGCTTTGGCCCAGGCGGACACTGTGCGTATTGGAAAAACAAAATCACATCGACCGATGATTTTTGCAGCGCAAGGTCACCATCCCGAATTTCCGATCACATCAATGGTTATCAGCGCCCGGCCACCCCCATTGGACGATTCGAGTTGGTCCATCATGCCACGTCTGCACTCTGCGAAGAGCTAGATTGGACATCGTGGAGCACGAGCACCAACAAAGCCCGCTCCATTTGACTGAATGATCGCATCGAGGAATACCGGATACCTGTCAACAGGAACAACAAGTTTCTATCATGAGAATGGAAGAGGATATCGTTTGATCAGCTCACCATTTTCCGTAGATCTTCTCTATCCGACCCACCTGGGACGTCCTTCGATGAGTCTTTCGGATTCTCGCAGATATAATGAATTTAAAAATTAATTTAAATGATTGACATAATAAGTCACGGTTTAAGTTTAGGGCAGGCGATATGTTTGACATGTAATTGTCGATAATCTTTTTTTTCTTTTCAACTTGTTCTCTCTCACCAGCGTGCCGCAGTATTTACTAGATGTACCCGAGTGTTCGTGCTTTTTTACGGTCTCGCGTATTGCTCTCGATCCACAACACAAAATAAATATCGGATAGTCATTAGTAGATAGAATACCATCTCAAGAACATGGCCCAAATTTTTATATACTAAAAAATTGATCTGTTGTGTTGCTACAGCATGAGCGAGCACCTCTAGTCAATCTCACCTAGTGTTCGTGCATTCGTCACACTGTGTCACAGGTTGCCGACGTTGCCGATTCGAAGTCCGCTACACTTGCGCTACACATACGCAAGTTCGAGGCGCCCGCTCGACGACAGTAGTAGAAATTCGATAACATGTATGTATATTATTGATTTGAATACAAGTTCTATGTGATATGGTGCATGTCAGGTGCTTTGCTGGTGCCGTGAAAAATTCATTGCGGCATGGCGGGATTTTAAAATGATGTAACGTCTTGTAGTAGATTGTCACGCCAGATATCATATCCTTCACTTGCACATCAATAGTCTTCTAAATCAACCTCGGAAGTTGTCATTTTAGCTAGATATATGTCTGGATCAATGTTCTAAACACTTCCGAGGTTAAGATCGGTGTGAGTCTGCCTTTCCGACACTGATCAGTGTGCAAAATTGTCTCCAAACGGTATATATTGTATCATGACACTTGCACAACACAATGATTTAAAAAATGAAAGACATAGAAATATTCATTGACAATGCAGGATCATTTTATTTCTATATATCTAAATGATTTGTGGTGATTTGCATGTGCTAGCGCAAAAACACGAACACTAGGTGAGCACGAACTCGTGGGTACATCTAGTACTGGCAGCCAAGAACTTGGGGCGAGAGGTTGAACTCATAACTCCCTTTAGTGTGCAGTCTTGCTACGCCGTATACTGGGCGTGAAGTTTCGCCTCAATATTCTCCTCCTGTCCGAGTCTTCGTTCGAGGACTTAGGCAAGATCCAGGGCTCATAACCTGTGACACAGGTCATGAGCACTGGCTCTAGTCTATAGTCTTGCTCCTTGTGACAGTCAATCATGCTCAAGAGGTCCGAGTCACTTGACCACCACATTATCTCAACTTACATATGTGATATCCATGTCATAATTCTCGTTCTACATGTATCAATCATTACCAAGCGGCGCGGGACGTGGTCCACGTGAAATCTGCAATGCTCAGATGCTTGTAAGTATCGATGGTTATTATCCTCTCCCGACATAAGGAACACCAGTCGCCCTGCGTAGCAGGTCAGTGTCCAAAACCTAATAAATATGGCAAGACACTCACATGATACTCATCTCCAGTACTGTGACAGACGTAGGGAGACTCGCGATGTGTGCAACTGCATCTGCAACGTGTATTGGATCGAAAGTCGGTTCAACGACTCTCCGGCCATCAGGTTGCAACGCTCCTAAAGTGTGCCCTGCAGCCATCGACGTGTGCGCATTTCCTGGTAACACCACCGTCGAATCAACCACCTCCGATGTTGTTCAGGTACGCACCAATGTCAATCTGCGTCACAGAAATATTGTATTTTCGCCCCTCGATAGCGATGCTCTTAGTTAAACCGTGCACAGCGTGTTTGGAGGCTCCGTATGCAACAGAATGAGGCCTTGGCACATGGGCAGCCAATGAGCCATTGTTGATGATTCTTCCTGCATAGGGACGTGGTACATCAACAAACTGAGGTTTCTCATTATCTAACTTCACGAACCTCCAGTGGGTTGTTGTTGCTTGTAAATCTTGAAAGCTTCGCGGGTGCAAAGGAACGAGGCAATAAGGTTGACATTGACGACCGATGTGAATATATCAAGTGGCATCTCCTCAATGGGCCTCGCCTTGTCAGACAAGCCCGCATTCTATGACATCGTCAATACACGACTACAAACGTTTCGAAAACCGGGTACACCACTCACGTTGAACAATAGGTCAAGTCTACCGAATTTGTTCATGGTCTCCTCGAACAAGCTTTTCACAAAGGCTTCGTCTGTGATGTCGCCAGCAACGAGGATGCACGCATCGGGGTTTGCACAGAGGGATCTGGTCTCCTCGAGCTGAGCCAGCCTTCGAGCAGTCAGTGCCAAGCTCCAACCCTCAGAGGAGAGCTTGATAGCGGAATGGCGTCCGATACCTGCAACCAGGCACCAGAAGTGAGCTTACGAACGAGTGGCAAACACAATCAAAACGCGCCAGAGGATGCACCCGTAATCACTGCGACCTTTAACGATGCCATTGAATGGGTTGGTGTATGAAGTTAGGAATAAAGGTGGCTAGTGTAGCCCGCAGCAGGGTGCGGATTTCCGTCCTGGCCGATATCCGGAGCTCACATGCATGCATATGACTATCAGTGAGAACCACAACCAGATTTCGGCTAATAATAACGGCCCGTGCGTATGTACGTAGTCCGATGGTGATGGTGATGTCATGTATTTGTATTGCTCAGGTAGTCACGCGACTTGACGTTTGGCTGGCATAACGAATGGGTGGAGGATGAGAGCGTCTGACAGTAGGGTTCGTGAAAGTGTTAAATTAAGTTCGCAGTACATCAACTATATACGGAAATAGAGCAAGACTTTGAGTCGAACCGGAACGCACGCAAAAATCATCTTATTCGGCCTTGCCCTTGCCCTTGGAGTTCGTCCCAGTACCGAAGACCAGCGAATCGACAATCCCCTTTCTCCCCTGAATGTCCAGGAGCGCGCCCCATACGGGGGTGAGCAAAGGCAAAAACATTGCCACACGCTCTTGGTAAGCCGAATATGCAACGGGATACTTGGCCTTCGATATCGACTCGGTGAAAATCGTGGAAGAAAAGAACAAAGTGCAGAGAACTAAACATGGAAGGAAGGGTGTGAGTGAAGCGAACGAAGTCGGCGGGAAGTCGAGCTTTGGTGAATCAGGCGATAGAAGAGGGATGAGTGTGATTATGATCTGGTGCGGAAGAAGTGTTAGTAATGGATCCCTGTGTTAAACGGAAATGCGAAATGTGTACATACCCAGAAACTCTGTTCGCACAGGAAGTTTGGGTGGCGTGACCAAGCCCATAAACCGCGAGTCACAAATCCGCGTTCAGCGTCATGTTTGGTCCATTGAATTCTCGAGCCAGGCCATTCATTTGGATTCAGCTTCCCAGAATGTTTGAAGGTTTGGAAAGAGTATTGCTGGTTATCCGAAATAAACTCGGTGAGGATAATGAGGAATCCCAGCGTTCCGAAAAGATAATCCGACGTCGAAAGGGGCGCATGTGGTTGAGCTGCTGCACGGGCGGCTGGAAGGCCCAAGAGGAATAATATTATATTCTGCGTGATTGCTTATTCTAAGTTAGTAGAAGCCTAAAGATAGATGGATAATTTGTAGCCGTACCGATAAAAAAGAGGTTGACAACTTGGAAGAGGAAAGGGGAGATCTTCTGTCGCAGAACTTCCCACCGATAATCTTCATCCTTGCTGTGAACGTTTCTTTATTTCCCATTATATCATCGATGAAGAATGAACTTACAAGCTAAATAGACCACGTCGCCAAGTGTTGTAACTTAACCTGCGAAGGGTGAGATTCATGATTGGATATAACACGAACATGTTGCCAACCTGAACATCCATGTTACCTGAAGGTAGTTAAGTAGACTATAGGCAATTGAGCAGATGGAATACTTACCACCAAACTAGCCATGAGCAAGGCTCGTGGACTGAAGGTCTCCCTCAAAGATGCGGGGATTGTGTCAGGGGTGTAAGGAAAGAGATAGGTAGGCGGAACGGATGGCCAAATTGGCAGGAAAGCATAGTATATAGTATATATGGTCGGAAGAAACGTCCAGATCCTGTCCACCTGCGACACGTTGTTGGTGAAGATGGAGAGTACGTATGTAGCAGCAGTTATGGCCACACAGAATTTGACAGGCCAAACAAACATGGGCGCCTCATGCGTGAGTACGCGCCAGAAATCCATGACGATAAGAGAGTATCAGGGTGCGCAATTAATCCGAGTTGTTGTGCTTGTGGGTGTTGCGGAGAAAGAGAGATCTTATATAAGGGGTTGGTTGACAGGGGTGATTGATGCCGGATTGACCCACACGGTTACATAATCACACAGGTTGCTCACTGTCTACAATGACCACCACAGTTCTTTTCTCAACGTTTGCTCCATTCCCGACTCTTTCACTCTCTGTTTCTCCAGAAACACGATTCGATGAACTATATCCTCTTTTGTGCGAACGCTATTCCGATCTCCCTGCTTCAGAAGACTTGAGAATTTCATGTCATGCTGGATCTGTCCCTACGTCGGACACCCTTATCTCTGAGATTCATGGACAAGATGCGAGTCTCATTACGCTGAAACTTATTCCCCGACTCCGAGGTGGTAAAGGAGGTTTTGGGTCGCAGCTGCGTGCCGCCGGTGGTCGCATGAGTAGTCAGAAGACTAGTAACAACGACTCATGTAGAGATCTTAGTGGACGCAGGCTTAGTACCATCAAAACCGCGAAAAGGTATGTATGTTTAAATGGTGTAGGATGTGATGCATTAACCACATTGCTTTAGGCTTGCAAACTACATGGGAAATGAAGATGAACGGAAGAAAGCCCAGGCTGAGGCCAAAAAAGCCAAGCTAGAGACGCTCGAGAGGAAGATTGCAGCTGCATCAGGGGATACGGAGGCTGTTGCTAGCAAGAAGCATCGGTTCGATGACACAGAATACTTGGAGGAAAGTAGGGAAATCGTCGACAATGTGAAATCTGCAGTGTCTGCAGGTCAGTATACCGCGTTCACTACGTAGTATTTGTCCTGATGTTTCAATTTGCAGGTCTTCTGAAGAAAAAGAAAAAGATGAAGATGAACCACATTTCTAACTCACCCGAGTCATCCACTCCTCCAAAGGACGCGGTCACGGAGAAAGTGCTAGCATGCTCAACCCAACCTATTGCGTTGCCTACAGCTATCACTGTCGAAGTCGCCAGCACATAGTGCCTACTTGTTGATATTATCCCCTTTGTAAATTACGTAGTGTATGTCCTCTGAATGGAATTAGCTTGTTGGTATTATTCGGTTCCCTAATAAAGTGTGTTTCTCTTACACTTACATCTCGGGTCTCAACGCAAGATCACTTGCTGCAAGTTTTTTACTCGCTGCATCCAGTAAAGGCTTGTGATGCGCCCTCTACCGCACATACCCAGTCGGGGGTACGTGCAAGCAGCGCGGTTCTTCGCTACCAGCGTATCTCCTACCCGAATTCCCCAGACTATCATTGAAAAAGTTGTTCAAAAGTACTCAGTCAGTCTCCCCGATGGTAAAGTTGTCAAAGCGGGTGACTATGTCATGATTCGCCCGGAGCATGTCATGACTCACGACAACACTGGCCCTGTCATATCCAAGTGTGCTTCTCTTCTCCCCTCTCAAATCATCACTCATATGATATGCATGTAGATTTAAGTCCATAGGTGCAAAGAAAATCGTTGATCCCCGGCAGACAGTGTTCACCCTCGATCACGACGTCCAGAACAAATCTAACAAAAATCTTGCTAAATATGCTAACATTGAAGCATTTGCACGCGAACATGGAATTGACTTCTATCCTGCTGGCCGTGGCATAGGGCACCAAGTCCTCGTAGAAGAAGGCTACGCATTTCCGCACACCCTCACTGTTGCCTCTGATTCGCACTCAAACATGTATGGAGGCGTTGCTTGCGTGGGTACGCCCATCGTGCGCACAGATGCAGCAGCCTTGTGGGCTACGGGAAAGACTTGGTGGCAAGTTCCTCGTATGGTCAAGGTGGAATTTCGGGGAAAACTCGCCCCAGGTGTCACCGGCAAGGACGTGATTGTTGCGCTTTGCGGGTCATTCAACAACGACGAGGTCCTTAACGCTGCAATCGAGTTTACCGGGGAGGGTGTCTCTGCGCTTTCGGTTGATGACAGGCTTACAATTTCGAACATGACAACGGAATGGGGCGCACTTGTAGGCGTGTTCCCCGTCGACGACACACTTTTAAGTTGGTACGAGACCGCATTGGCAAGATTAGAGCAATGGACTTTCGCCTCTAAGTCAATACCGCCTCCGCCAGAACACCCACGTATCAATCGCCGCCGTCTTGATGCTCTCCGTGCAACCAATCTTATGTCCGACCTCGGTGCCCAATACTCATCGCATCTGATCTTCGACCTCTCCACCCTCGTCCCGCATGTCTCCGGTCCTAACAGCGTCAAGATATCTACTCCACTTCCCAAGCTAGAAAACCAGCAAATTGCGATCCAGAAAGCATACTTGGTTTCATGTACCAATTCTCGTGTCTCTGATATTGCTGCAGCGGCGTCTGTTGTTGAGGGTAAGAAAGTTGCAGAGGGCGTCGAGTTCTATGTTGCAGCTGCGAGCTCTATGGTGCAGGCTGAGGCAGAGAAGTTAGGGGCACTGGAACAAGTTGATTGCTGCAGGTGCCAAAGTGCTCCCGGCAGGTTGTGGGCCTTGCATCGGGCTCGGCACCGGGTTGTTGGAAGAGGGTGAGACGGGCATTAGCGCCACGAACAGGAACTATAAGGGACGAATGGGCCACCCCAAGGCTCAGGCATACCTTGCTAGTCCTGCAGTAGTTGCTGCGAGCGCTGTCAAAGGATTTATCTGCTCTCCCGGCTCTCTTGACGCAACCTCGCTTCCCCCTGCAGGCGCCCCCGTCTTCTCCATTGCTTCTGGTTCTTCGGACGCGGCGGAGGTACCGCAAGCAGAGGAACCCCTCTTCCCCGGCTTCCCTGCAGCCTTCTCTGGTCGTGTGCTCTTCGCACCACAGGACAACCTGAACACGGACGCACTATACCCCGGAAAATACACCTACCAAGATGACATCACCCTCGCACGCCAAGCACAGGTAGTCATGGAGAACTATGACCCGTCTTTCGCAGGCAATGTCGCCACCATTCTCCCTTCACTATCCGCATCAGATGAAAGCACCAAGTCCGGTGTGGTCTTGGTGTCGGGGTACAACTTCGGTACTGGGTCCTCTCGCGAACAGGCTGCTACCGCGCTCAAGGCAGCTGGTGTGCCACTCGTCATTGCAGGCTCATTCGGTGACATATTCAAGCGTAATGCCATAAATAACGGTCTTGTCTGCCTTGAGTGTCCTGAGCTTGTCGCTGACCTCACTGCGACGTACGCCAAAGGCGGCGCACGCGGTGCAGGTGGACGTGATGGCGAGCTCACAGTGGATAAAGGGCACGAAATCCGCGTCTCGATGACGGACGGAAATGTCACTCTGCGTGGTCCTGATGGAGAAAAGATATACAAAGTACGCACGGTAGGCGCAAGCGTGCAGGAGCTGTGGGTGTGCGGTGGGCTGGAGGGGTTCATTCTGAAGTCCATACGGTGATATTCATGACGTATTTAGATGACTTTTTTGCCTGCTTGTGTGTACGTCTTGTGCTTATCTGCTGTCGGAGACATGCTATGTAACATCCAAAGACAGCCTAGCCTGCAAGCCACTCCCTGGTTGTTGTTCATTGATCTGTGAGAGCCTCAGTTGCGAACCGTTCGATATGACACACGCCAGTTGTAATCATTCCGAGCTACTCACGTCTGCCCCGCAAGATCTCAACGGTACGAAGAAAGTTTAGACACAATTATGTGTCTTTCCTTGGTCACGCGAAGAGGGCATCATCGAAATATTTGTCCGAGGGCGCCGCGGGCAGCCGAGGTGATGAATAAAGGCGACCACAACCAAGATGATTCCGGCTTTATAGTTTTTGACAAAAACTGGGATTAGTAGGTTTGACAGAACTTCGACTCAGATGAGCTGGGAGCATATAAATGTATTCCGATGCTACGTTCTGAAATTGATAGATTTGCATACATACCTCACTCGTACGGTTATGGGTAGTCATAATGAATATCAAACCTTCGTGAAGAACCAGAGTCTCAATGAATAGCCCTCGAATCATAGATTGGCGTTCCAAATGCTTCTGCCACACTCAGGTCTCCATGCCTTGTTCTGGTTGTTGTCATCGGCGCCATCAAATTTTTCCTTAAGGACAGCAAGCTTCGAACGGTATTCGTCTATGCCGATGTAGGCACCACACACGCGGCGCTTACCGTCAAAAGCGGATCGGCCATGAAGCACGCGATGGTTGTCAATCGCTAAACACAAGATTAAGCCATAATGGCAGGCAGCCACGGACAGGACTCACTTAATACAGTGCCGGGACTGAGTTGGACCCAATACTCTGAATCAGGTTTCGTCAAGAGTTCGTTCCAAATCTTGATCGCTTGATACCTGGGTTGATTAAGTAAAGTTTTCTGACTCATGCAGCTCACTTACCATTCCTCCACTTCGTCGGGTAGCAAGTGACTCATCACGCTTCTATCATCGTTGTTCCACCGTACCTGCACGAGTTCTTTGGTGCTCGGGTGATATCGTAGCGGGGGGTACATTGCAGGGGGACTCGGAGTGTACAGTGCTGACGGTTCTCCTGCTGCATGGGCTTGAATGGGCACACGGGAAAGAAGATCATGGAACTTCGGATGTAGCTCTTTCATAAGGGCGGCGACATAGTAACCATCTACGAGAAGCGTTGCTCCTCCGGAGCCTTCAGTATGTGATAGGAGATGAAAAATTTGAAGACCACAAGGGTCAGTCTGTGCTCGCAATCAATCAGTGGCACAACGAGATCTATGCGCATATTCCATACAAAATAAGTGTTATCAGTATGTGCTCCTAGTGCCATTGTGGTGTACGCGGTGTCTCCCTTAGAAAGGTCAGCAGTAAACTCCCAAAACTTCCCATCTAAGTGCATTCAGACCGGAAGTGAAGGGACAAAGAGGGAGGGCGTACACTGTGTCTCTCTTATGAAACCGATACGTTGGCAAAGTTCTTCTGTGGCCTCAGGCGTCGCGGGGACCCCTGAGACAAAGCAAAAGCCAAATGTTTCCTGCATGCGCATGAGACAAGCACACAAACCTCTCAATTTACGTACAACGTTCGTTAGCCACTTATGCAGTCCCTGGTCATCCATGACCTCGGTATAAGTCACAGAGGGTGGAGACTTCTCAATCTTTGATCCCCAAAGGACTTTCCTAGTGCGTGATAAGCGCGAAATACGTATTGTGAAAGAAGAATCATACCGGCTTGGCGTTGTTTGAACAGCTGGATCGTATGTGTGGGCTTGTAGCCATGTCCATGGGTATACCGACGAGTGAGATTCGGTGCTAGTTCCAGGCCCTAATCGACGAATCAAGTTGAGACGAGAATTCAGTTAAACCAACATACAGACAACTTCGAGGCCATCTGTGGAGCCTTGTACGTGTATAGGTTTGATATCAGCTGGAATCTGCAGAAGCGTCTCTTTCTCAATAAAGACACCATTACCGCCTGCTGCTAGACTACCTCGAATGTGTTGAGCAGTCGCTGCTTTGTTATTGGGTGAAAACAGTCTGGGCATCTGCAGTGGTCGCGCAACCAGATATGGTGACTGATATTTTGCATGTTCAGATCTCGAGGACTATTACGAGGCGGAAGGTCCATACAATCTAGACCAATGCTGTGGGCCCCACAGGATGGATACCTTTTGCTCATCAGCATTAGCAATAGGGATATCACTGTGAACTCTAGGTTCTGTGACGCCCAGCTGCTCCGAAGAAACTACTTCTCTAGTCGCCGCAGAGGAGGTGGAACGACTTCTAGTCAGCGAACCATGTGTCCAGCGCGATTCGAGTATACTAGAGATCTGATTAATACGACCATGGAATGAGCTATAGATGACAGCCTAGAGATAGTACGACATACATACTCTTGGAGGCAAAGATGATGGCTTCGCCGGTGCGGATCGAGAGAGGTATTTCACAGTGCCATGAGGCCAACTCCGAAGCGGAATACGCAAGCTTGTGAAGCCTACCCTAAGCATTGCCAGCAACGATAAATAGTGATACCAGTATACCAGAGCACAGGACAAGTCGGACAAGTCACAAGGATCACGAGGTATGAGCGAGTGGCATAATTCACAATTTCTGGAGTCTAGGTCCGACCCGACTGTTACGCTGTGACATTCCCCAAAGTGGAACGAATACCTCCAAGGCTGCTCTTTTGTTTGGAGTTGCTGAGAGGCAAAGACAGAAGTGAAATGAAACTTTGGCTGATACTGCCGTATTCCACAGATATAAAGAGAGGCTATACATTAGAAATGGCAGCATAGATACATCGGGTCCTTTTAAATTCACTGGTACTCCATTTTCTTCACAAACGTCACTTCAATAATATTGATACAAAGCAATGGCATATGCCTGCCCTTCAAAGACGGTGTCCGATGTTAACATGAACAGCCTTCACATTTGTGTAGCTGAAACAAAAGGTCAGTAAAAGCCGCCATACCGCAGGGCCATGTCTTGGCTTACTGTTCCAAAGCATATTCGCCAAGCTCACGCCCAATGCCTGACTGTTTGAAACCTCCAAACGGAACGCTCAACTCCGTGGAGTTGTGACAATTGATCTATGTCCATCAAATCAGCAGCAGCCTTAACGCTAGCATGCTCGTGCTCACCCATGCGGTACCAGCTTCGATACTATGTGCGACTCGAATTGCTCTGTCTATATCTCTGGTGAAGACAGAGCAAGCAAGACCATACAGAGTATCATTCGCTTGCTCAATAGCCTCTATGATACTTTGTTAGCACTCGGACATCCGTAATGGGATGTGCCTACCTTCTTCCGTGGTGAACTTGATGATCGCAGCCACGGGACCGAATATCTCTTCCTGCACGATCTTCATACTCGGCTTGCACTCCGTGAAAATGGTCGGTTGAACGAAGTAGCCCTCGTTCCCATGACGTTCTCCACCGATGTGAACGGTTGCACCGTCCTCCTTACCAGACTTGATATATCCCATGATCCGCTAATAGGAAGTAAGCAAAACCGCTCACTAGTACATTAGGTAGGCGCTGACCTCAAATTGCGTCTGCGAAACTTGTGGACCTTGGTAAGTGTCTCGAGCAAATGGATCGCCGACTTTCAAAGACAAGGCATGCTCAGTGAACGCCTTCAAAAATCTATCATATATCCCTGCTTGAACGAATATGCGGGAACCTGCGGTGCACGCTTGTCCGTGGTTCATGCTGTGAAGTGTGAGCAAGGCTCGGCTACGATGCAGGGTGACATACAAAATACCGTGTGAAACCCACTTGACGGTCTGCTCCAGGTCTACATCATCGAATATGACGCTGGGGCTCTTACCGCCAAGCTCAAGAGTAACCTTCTTTAAATTGGTCTTGGAAGCGGCTTCCATAATCTTCCGCCCAGTCAATGTGCTCCCTGTGAAGGCTATCTTGTCGACAATCATGTGTTCACTGAGGGCTTGACCTGCGGTACTACCGTATCCGTTGACGATATTGATGACACCATCAGGGAAACCCGCTTGAACAAACAAAGGACAGAGACGAAGCGCAGTCAATGGTGTCAGCTCAGAGGGTTTCAGGATAACAGCGTTTCCCGCTGCCAGAGCTGGGCCAATCTTCCATGACAGCATCGTGACTATTCACTGTCGTTATTTGTTCGCCGAACATGGATTAAATACACATACGAGGGAAGTTCCAGGGAATGATCGCGCCCTATAAGATGCTAAATTCGCAGATCTTCATCGCGCGACAAAGTGAGAACACGTACCACCACTCCAATGGGCTCGTGACGCGTATAAGCCAGCTTTTTTTCGTTCGTCTATCAAGTAGGTATGGATTAGAATTGCCCTGAAGAGACATACAATGCCTTTCTGACCTCAATAGTTTTCCCTTGAATCTTGTCCGCCCATCCAGCATAGTACCTTAGGACAGCGACAGATCCAGGAATATCAGCATTCCGGGCCACGCTGAAGGCTTTACCTGCATATAGGTTCAGATTACGAGTAACATATATGGCTGAAGTATCACCCTACCTACGTCCAAAGCCTCCAAGGCAGAGAACTCGTCAGCGTTTGCTTGGAGGAGGTCTGCAAGTTTGTTGAGCATTCTGCCCCTTTGGGCACCAGGGACTTTCAAGCCCCATCGCTCTTTGTAAGCCTTCTTTGCAGCCTTAGCGGCAATATCGATATCTGCAGCAGTGCCAGCGGCGACCGAGGTTATGACCTTTCCATTGACTGCATCTGTTGTCAAAGTTGATCAGGTATGAGCGACTAATTGACCTACCCGGATTCAGAACTCTAAGTCAATGAGGCATAAGATAGACGTTGAGTGCAAGATAAGTACATACTCGATGGTGCCCTTCTCTACGGGTTCAACAAACTTTCCATTGATAAATAGGCCAGTGGGGACTGTCGAGGTGCCCTTGTAGGTCGGTGTGTCAAACTGATAAGTGAAGGAAGAAGACATGGTGATAGCAGATCACGAATCGAGCTCCCACCGCCAGTCTTTTATCTTGCCGGGGAGCCTAACAGTGTGCTGGGGCCCGAGCTCAGAACCTTGCATGAAAAAGAGCTTTAACGTTATGTGCATGTGATCATGATGGAACATGCACGGCCCGGATGCGGCCATATCTTCACTCATCCGCTAGCAGGCTCACCATCATCAAAGGTCACCTACAAAAGAAGGTTCCCCGACTTTCAAGTTATCCGTCACTGTATCATCGAATCTCTCGCTGGTTCTTCTTTGTCTGCTTCATCATTGCTGGCCCCTCTGGTTTCGCTGGTAGTATCTGATCAGGAGCCTCCTGACAATAACAATCTGTGCTGACCAGTATCCTATTGGGCGTATTTTTCCCTCCGTCACGTCAAATAGTTGGGAATTTTCCGTGCATGACTCGTGAGCATTATGCTCTACGGTCATTAATGTTTACACACGTTCGATTCTGGAAGTACAGTCCATGCAGTTGAGTTTGTTCATCTCCGCTGCCCGAACCTTTCGCTTGGCAGTCGCTGGTTCTGATCTTTTCGAATTCATAATGCTACCGTTACCAGGCAGTGTCAACGTCTTCGAAGAGCACACGTGAATGTGCTAGATACAAATGGGCATAGTAGACTTGTCATATCTGATATGTGTCATCTCCCGACGGAAATTATGGAATGTGCCATGTGTGAAGCGGCCTATGCATGCAGCAGGTGGTGCCAGTCAGGCGCACATGTCACAGGCAACTTCAAACTCCTTGCTCCCAGACTCAAGCTTCGATGGTTGCAGATAGTAAAGACCTTATCAGTGGCAAAGACTCAACCACCGCTTGGTAATTAAACGTCCGTCGCCGAGCTAGCTGCTTCGAGTCAGCCCCGAACCCCTCCTCGCGCTTACGCTCCCTACAGCTTACGGACATCAGCACCGACAGACGGACCTCGATTAGAGTCATCGTATCAACACTTACGGTCGAGCGCATTCCTTGTGGTAGCGCTTCCCCATACCCCACTTTTGGTTTCATCTTCGTTCCGATCTCCCGTACAGAACTTGGCCGTATGATGTAGCATCTCCTCGACAAAGTAAAATTTTAATCATAAACCAATGCAAATTCTCGTGTCTTATGGTTTGCCGTGTGAGATGAAGATGTATGTAATATGAATTTATGACCACCAATGGCAGGAACATATATGTGGACACTGATCTATCGTCGAGCATATGTACAAGGAAGAAAAAATTTCAGATGTGGTGGAAATCACCGAAGAAAAAATGTGAAGGCCGGACCAATAGCGGTAACTGATAAAGAGGGATGAAAGGGGGTATCAACTATGAACATGGCGCTGGATCTTGGTATGAACGTGTTGCCCCGATGTGGTGTTTCGAAAAAATCAACCAGCAGCAATGGCCAGTACTGGTGTGCCGACCTATTGGCACATAGCCAGTCCGAAGTTAGTCGATGCTTTGTAAGTAGTTCCGTGAGGGTCTATGAATCAAAATCCATACTGCGGGAGGCGCCTAATGCACCTCGGCTGAGGCTTCCTCCAGTCCTCTGCCTGCGTCTGCCCGACTCGATCAGCAAGATAATCTACTTCTGCTAGTGTGTTTTGCAGGTTCCCTGGAGGGTGATGCGGAGGCCATGGTTCGGGGCCATCGAGGGGCCAAGTAGGAAGATAACACATTTCCTGCAAGTAAATCATGCTTAGTTCTGTGGGCTAGGAAATAAGTTATTTGGACCCCACCTCGGCGCTGCAGGCAGGCCGGCATTTAATCCATATACTCCAGTCCAACCAAGACATCAGCTTCTCGATGTCTTGTCTCCAGTCATTCATTATTTGAACGATATCAGGCTCCTCATTAGGTTCCATGGGGAAAATAACGTCGAGCCCACTCATGACACCAACAGCCCACATGTTCGTAGTAACACGACAAATTTCTCTCGTCGTGTCTTCGATGGCTTTGAGCAACAGGCGTTCCGAAGGCGTCATCGAGGGTGTCAGATTTATAATCACGGAAGTGTGTGTTGTGGCACATAGCCTGAATATCGGGGACGCCCACTGCAATTGCTGTAGGCCCGGATTATTCGCGTCGGGCACGACGGTATCATCTAACAGATACGGTGCAAGCATAATGCGGAGCTGTGTCTGCACGAATCTTGCTCGCCGAAGGAATTCTTGCGAGTCTGATGAAGTGAAATTGAGGAGATGCTTCGTAAACTCCAACCGGTCCGCATATCGATCAACGATGACGTGGGTGAGGACCATCCAATCAACACCGCTTCCAGGGTCTGGTCGATTGACGACTTCGGTGAGCTTTCTCTTTACTTGGGATATGTCCTCTGGCGAGATTCCGAGCACCCGGTAGTCCCACCGCTCAAGCTTCGCGCGAACCGGGACGAGGGAAGGTGCGAGTGCGATATCATATAGTGAGACAAGACCAGCCAGGTCGAGCACAATGCGAGATTCTCCTGGGTAGTTATTGTGCCATGAGCCGGAGTACATGGCTTCAAATGTGCGATTCCCTGCACGCAGGAACACATAACGTCAGTCGTATTGGAACATGGAAACAAAATACTGACAGATATCCTGATCCAATGGAGGACGGTAGGGAGGGGAAGGAACATGAGTGTCCTTCCATGTGAGCCGGACATGCAGAAAAGATACTACTTCAACGCCGGCCGTAAAATCACATAACATAACTTCACTAGAAAGTCGTCAGTCGGAGGTGCGACACACAACCGAAAGTATGCGCACAAGCTCATTTCCATCCTAGAAATTTGGGAATCAGTCAAATACCATAGCGAGATAAGTCGCTAACCTCGCAAATCCGTCAATTCCGAACTCTTTCCCCCACCTACAGAGTTCTTGAATCCGCGATAGTTCGTCCCAGGATCGCTCGGGTTGCACTTCTCCCCAGGTTATTATATCCTGCGTATCTATCGTACCCTCGGACAATTTTGCAGAACTACTTCCATCAAAATACAAAACTTTCAGAGGTCGCGTTACTGCCATTGTGAGCTGCCAGCCAGTCCCATATCCAAAAGCGAAAACAATAGAATGCTCTGGGTCTATAGCGGTCCAGTCAGGTCCGCTGGGTATCGTATGGCTGTCGGTGCCGTGATAAAGCAAAGTACCGGTTGGAATCACTCCTGGTACTATGTTATGTCCTATGAAAAAAAAGTTATTTTTTCAGTCTCGAACAGCGGCGGAGACGTACCATTACGATGCCGAGTGTTTGGCCAGTGTTGTAGAAGCGAATGGACAGTGTCGAATATCAAGTTTCCTGTTGCGTTCTCAGCAGGACCTTCGTCAAACCTCCATTGCTCGATCTTGGAACCGGAACTAAATGGATGTGGTTCGTCATTGTTGAAGTCGATAATACACAAAGGTAGAACGCACGTTTCTCCAGCGGCACTAACGGGAAATTGTTGGTGGTGAAGAGCTAGAGCTGCTGAACCGAAGCTCAGAGCTACCACAAAGGACTGATATCGCATTGTGAGAACTGTCGGAGATATACTGAGGCTATAACATATATATCAGAGCCAAGCAATGCATTGTCACTATTGTTGAAATTTTACCAACAGGTCTGGCAAATTTGAGTATGCCTTCGACGGCAGAATTCAGGGTGCCCGAGATTTGATAGGATGTCGAAGGCAGAATTCAGGGTTCCTGAGATATGATAGGATGATTTGCATGCACTGTAATTTGAGTTGGTTGGTTCGAGCGTTCGGTCATGCAATGATTGAAATTTGTTCGCCAAGCCTTTTCAGGGATGGCAATTAGACATGCGAACGGATAGAGGTGGTGTAGTTGACGTTCGATGTTGGATCATCTTGGACGAAACCTAAACATAACAATTTGCCCAATACTCGTGCACATATGCAGAGATATGAGGCATGTCTCACAGGACATGTACAGATCGCTGTGATGTTGAATAGCAGGAAGCGCAGCATGTAAATGCATGATAATCACTCACTCGGAGCATGCTTGAACATACTGATTGCCACTCAATTGCAATATTCGGACCCTCGGCAAAGCCTACATATCAATGATATCAATACACGTCAAAACGAGGTGCCACCTCAAGTTCATGGTCAGTCCCATCTGACGGTTCGATTCGCCGTTATGCCACATACATTTTTCATAGTCCGCTGTATTAAATGGAGCAAGCCATTCACAGCGCTTCTCTTGATGCACTGGATCGTTCTGCACATGATTTAATCAAAGAACGACTCCCCATCAACTACATCCAGACACCCGCAAATATGCAGTCAAGCAACTGTTCCAGCTTTCCTGTAGAGTTTCCCTTCTCCTGTGTAGAGTAGTTGTTTATGCGATCATCATTAAAGGCAAATTCAATCTCTGAGGGCATGAAGTCGAGAGTTAATGTACGATCATCTCTGAGGGCAGACTTGATATGTTCGTATGGTGAGATCGGAACAGCCTCGGAGGTGCGTGGTACTGTGATATCAACGAAGCCAGAGTCTACCGAAGAATTGAAATCACTATCCAGGATGATTGAAGAGTCTCGCACGATGTTGCAGGTAGTGATAGACTGAAGACGGTAATAGCAATGGCGATAGTTAGCATAAAAAGTTACATGGGCAATGAAATTTCCATCAAACGATGCTGTCCGGCAGCTAATAGCATATACTGATATTTGCACTCCACTAACAATACCCATCAGTCAACCTCGAGAGGCCCGGGATTCATAAAAAAGGACGTCTATTAGATGACTCACGACTACAAGAACGATGTAAACGCCCATGAATCAGAATCCGTACGGCGAGAGGCGCCTGATGCACCTCGGTTGAGGCCTCCTCCATTCCTCCACCGGCGTTCCCGTGAAGAGAAATGCATCTGCAATCGCTGAACCTTCAAGTGGATGCCCGACCCGATCAGCAAGATAATCTCCTTCCGCTGGTGCATCCGTGATGTTTGGCGGGTCCCGCGGAGGTTGACGTGGATGCATTGGCCCAGGAAAACTGACAGGCCAAGTGGGAAGATAACATATTTCCTGCAAGTACATCATGCTTAGTCAGCCGGGTAAGGAAAAAAGTCGTTTGCATCCACCTCTGGGCCGCAAGCAGGTCGGCATTTAATCCATATACTCCAGTCTAACCAAGACACCAGCTTCTCGATGTCTTGTCTCCAATCATTCATTATTTGGGTCGCATCAGGCTCTCCATTCAGTTTAATGGGGAAAAGTGTGTCGAGCCCGCTCATGACACCCACGGCCCACATTTTCGTAGTGACCCGACAGACTTCTCTTGTTGTCTCTTCGACGGCTTTCAGCAACAAGTGTTCCGAAGGCGTCATGAAAGGTATTTGGTCTATCATCGCAGAAGTGTGTGTTGTGGCGCATAGCCTGAAAATTGGAGATGCCCACTGCAAGGCATCTACACCTGAAGCGCCTGCGCTAGGGACGATAGTGGAATCCAATAGGTACGGCGTGAGCATAATACGGAGCTGTGTTTGCGTGAGCTTCGCTCGCTGGAGGACTTCTTGCGCATCTGACGAGGTGAAATTGAGGAGATATTGCATCAACTCCAGCCGATCCGCATATCGATCAACGATGACGTGGGTGAGGGCCTTCCAGTCTATACCGCTTCCCGGGTCTGATCGACTGATGACTTCGGTGAGCTTTCTCTTCACCTTCAATATGTCGTCTGATGATATTCCGAGTACCCGGTGGTCCCACCGTTCAAGCCCTGCGCGAACCTGGACGAGGGAAGGTGCCAGTGTGATGTCGTACAGTGAGACAAGACCAGTCAGGTCGAGCACGATGCGAGATTCTCCTGGGTAGCTATTGTGCCATGAGCCAGAATGCATGACTTCAAATGTGCGAATCCCTGCGTCAAGGAACATACATCATCAGTCGTATTGAAAATACGGGAAGAAAATACTGACACATATCAGAACCCACTGGAGGAAATGGAGGGCGAGGGGAAGGAAGGCTAGGAAGATCTTTGTTTTCGTCCTTCGATGAAAGTCGGACATGCACGAAAGATACTACCTCGACACCAGCCGTAAAATCACACAACATAACTTCACTAAAAATCCATCAGTCGGAAGTGCGACACAGAATAAGAGCATGCGCACAAATCCATTTCCATCCTAGAAATATGAGGATCGGTTATGTACCATGGCGAAACGAGTTGCTAACCTGGCGAAACCGTCGATTCCAAGCTCCTCTCCCCACCTGCAGAGATCTTTAATCCGTGGTTTTTCATCGAAGTATCGCTCGGGTAGCACTTCTCCCCAGGCTAGTATATCCTGTGTATCCATTGTACCCTCGGTGACCTTAGCAGCACTACTTCCATCGAAGTACAAGACTTTCAGAGAACGCGTCGCTGCCAGCGTGAGATGCCAGCCATTCCCATCCAGTCCAGGAGCAAAATTCATGGAATGCTCTGGGTCCGTAGCGGTCCATTCTGGCTCACTGGGTATCGCATTGCGGCTAGTGCCGTGATAGAGCAAAGTACCGGTTGGAACCACTCCAGGTACTATGTTATGTCCTACAAAAAAGATAAGACGTTTTTCCAGTCTCAGAAAGCGGCGGAGACGTACCATTACGATACCGAGTGTTTGGCCAGAGTTGCAGGAGTGAATAGACGGTGTCAAATATCAAGTTCCCTGTCGCGTTCTCGGCAGGACCTTCGTCAAATCTCCATTGCTCAATCTTCGAATCGAAACCATATGAATGTGGTTTGTCATTATGCAAGTTGGTGATACACAAGGGTTGAACGCAAGTTTCATCAGTGGTTTTAAGAGGAAATTGGCCCTGTAGTGCTAGAGCTGCCGACCCTAGGCTCAGAGTCAGAGCTGTCACTGCGAGGGAATGAGAGCGCATTGTGATGAACGCCTGGGTGTTATCACATCTTTATCAACGCATTTCAATGAATGCGCCGCGATATAGTACTTGTTGCTGCGGCGCTATAAATATATTGATTCTGGATTCTCCGACAGAATTCTTATCAGACGCGGGGCCAGTTTGGTCTCTATATGGCCGACATGGCGATGTAGTTGTTCGGTTGGGTGGTACTTACACAAGGTAGAGCTGCAAGCTAGGTGAAGAACAAATCCAGGATGCAGCGGAGATCACTGAAGAAAGAATGCGAAGGTCGCGCCCATCGCAGTAACTGACAAAGAGGATTGATGAGAGTATATGTCGAGCACTGATCATCATATAGACAGCGTTCGTGAGAACTTGGCGTGGACAAGTTCAACGCCGCAGCTTTGCGGCACCACTCACTTACATATAAGTACCTCTGCAGGACTGCCATAGATATTCCTTCGTACGGGACGTGCCATGTCTGCACATTACGCACCTCTGCCAACCCAGCAGTCATCACGAGATGTCGATCGTGAACTCAACGACGCCTTTGAGTCCGATGGCGATGATGAGGATTACATTGACTCAGAACGCAATCGTCCGCGTGCTGAGACCTTTTCCTACGTCGCAATTCCCCAAAAAGACGCGTCTGGTAGTACGACAGTTCCTGGAACTTATGACTTTGAGCGGAATTACGACTACGACCGCCCGCCCCCTGGTTCTCCTCCACAGCCTCTCGCATCTGCTCTACCCAATGATATAGGCAATTCAAATGGCGAATTGCCAACCTCTCCTTTGGGAACGACATTACCACGACCATCATTCTTGCGCAGGGCAGTTGGGGCCATCTTACCTACTCACTACGTCCGTGTACCGACCCATGAACCACCCGTCGGGGTGAGAGGTGGAGGAATACAGAATGATGGAGTGTTCTCGAATGTTGTCGTCAAACCCGCCTCCTCAGTACCAATACAAGCTGATGATGGCAGCATCTACATGGTCCCTGAGGAGACGCAAGGCACTGCTCCACCCGTATGCCTATACTCATTCTCTAATATACCTCAGCTTATTATTTTTCAAGTCTTATGCGGCAGCCCAAGCAGATGCTGTTCCCCCGTATTGGGATACAATCATACATGCTCCTTCCGGAATGGACACCGATACTGGGATGATCGTCGGCGATCTTCCCTCGGGCTCCATCCTCACTTTCATCTCGAACCTCTTCGTCTCGTTTTTATTCCAATTTATCGGCTTCCTCCTAACGTACCTCCTCCATACCACACATGCCGCAAAGTTTGGCTCGAGAGCTGGCCTTGGACTAACGTTGATCCAATATGGATTTTACTCTCGTACAGCGGTCAACATATATCCTGCGCCTGATAGTAATGGCGATCCTGATGTCCTCATGCTATCCTCCCCGCCTTCATCTTCGGCCCCCGTGCCTCCAGAGAATACCGTTATTCTCAACATGTTTTCACGAGAGTGGCTATCATTTATTTTAATGACTGTCGGTACGCGTTACCTGTCTTCAGTTTTTCCGTTTCCTTACCCTGTCTGGCAGGCTGGTTTCTGCTCCTTTCCTCTTTGGTCGGTTTTTGGCGCGTAAAGAACTGGGAATGTGCCATCCGCGCCTCAAATGCACACGAACCTCAATCACCTGAGGATATCGCTCGTGATATCGCGACGAGGAGAAATATTGAGCAGGCGTTCAACATCGCACCGCTTGAAGAGAGCGAGCGCACATCTCTCGGCTCGCCTTTCACAGTCACGACACAGCAGGAACATGCAGAGGCAGAATTGCGGGCTGCACATCTATTGTGATGACTTTGTTGTTGTATAGTATGCTTTTGGATCCGACCTTTTGGACGCGAGAGGGTGATGCAATGATATGTATGTCTCGTCTTCCTGCTCTCCTTACGATACCATCACCGGTTGTTTTGCCTAATTAATTATCTGAAGTACATTGTAATTTAAAGTATGGATATTTCTGCCAAATTTTCAAGCTGCTAGTTTGTAGGGCTTGTCGACTAGTCGACCGTCAATCAAAGCTTGAAGGACGATACACAACACATGCAAATGATAAGACGGTAGGAGCGAATCACCTTGATGGCAAAACTAAGTGGTATCCATAGCATCGTCTCTCACCTCCTCTTGAGGGGATGTCTCCTTCTCCTTCCCCTTGTTACGTCGTTTGTTGCGTTTTCGAGATCGAGGCTCTGCGACGCTCCCAGTCATGCGTCCAAGTGAATGACCGGAATTTTCCGCAAGTGCTTCATGGTGAAAAGAGTTCGCACCGACAGCAGGAGCCCCTTCCGATTGTTCACTGGCCTTCTGCCGTAGCTGAACCTCCTTGAATCGGATTCGTCGTTCAGTAACGCCGACGTGCGTTACAGCTCGCGTATTTCTTTCGGAATCATCTTTGATCAACAGAAATGTAAAAATTAATTTGATGGACAGAACGTTTACATACTTTTTCCTTCCGTGAACAAAAGCTCCGAACCGAGGAGCGTATCATGCCGACCCCTGAAGAAGGAGCCAGAAAGCTGCAGAAATGGCGTAGGCGTATCCAAGCCCTTTTTTTTTTTTGCCTTGTAGCGATGCCTATAATATATGGGGTTTTATGCTTACTACAAGCCTATAGGTTGAGCTGCTGGGAAGTAGGGTTGGCTCGACAGTGCCGAGATCAAGCGTGACATAGAATTCTTCGTTGTCTGATGAATATTCTTCATCGGGACCAAAGGAATCCACTTGGCGATACCCGGTGAAGGGGCATGTTGTAGCCATGATGATGAGGGCGCTCTAGGCCTGTCGTCGCTAGTACGTGACAGATATGATATATGAAGAAGTAAAAAGTCAATCATTGTGTTTAGATTGTTTGGATCCAAAGGTTTTGCCAAACAAACCAATAGTCACGTGCTATTTGAAAAATTGTGTCCAGAAGCTACGTTAGATATAATTTTCCATCAAACTGCTACTCGAACTTCTGAAGGATGAATATACGCCAGACTGTTCTGTCCTTTTAAATGGAAGAACCTCCGTCTCAGCTGGCTGTTACAGTTCTTCCAGTCTTCACCTGCGCCGATGATCTCGGGCCGTGGTCGATTTGTTCCAGAAGAAGCCGTTATCTAGCTAAGTCTACGATGTGTAATGCGAAGGATGGGTCAGTACTGGAGCACAGGTGGACAAGAAAGGGTTACTCAATGACCCAAATGTCCGACATCACTTCCTGCTTGGCTTTAGACACACTTCATCCTAGGCCCTTTTCTGAAGGCCGATGATCGTTGTAGATCCAAATGCGAATTCATCGCTACCTGTTCTTCGACCATACCTTTTTTCCTTGAATCGAAGCTTCTTTTCATCCATGCGCTTAGGGCGGGTTTGTTCAAGTATTCAGTGGCCCATATCTCCCCGATGAATGAAAGTCTATGACAACGCTTCCAACTTGCAATCCCAAAGTGGTAGACTTTTTATGGAAAGCCAGACCGCCCACCGTGCTAGGCCTAGGCTTATTTTCACACACATCGTTGCCAGTGAAGATGTTCGCACAGTACATATAACAAGGAGGAACAGGACCCATGATGAAAGGTCGGCAGAGGCAAACTGTTCTGACAGATTTTTAAGATTTTTGTCTAGATGCCACATGGATCCTGCGCTCGCGCGTTCGCACCGATGTTTTTCCATTTCCTAAAATGATTCGAACCTGCGCATACGTGGTGCCTTCTGATCAGACTACAAGACAGTCAATGGGTGGCGTCACCGTGGACTACAGCCGGATCTTTTACCGGAGGCCTCGCCCTGAGCTTTACATAGGCAAAATATTCACCATCGCTATACAAATATTCTGATTCAGCACCCTCAAGCCTCCCCCCCCTCGTCATGGACAGACAAGATCATGATGCATATGACGACCCAGAGGCTCCCTTCATTCCTACATTGGCTACCAAACCACGTCCAACTAAAGGCATAAAGTTTTCTCCCAAAACGATATGCGCTGCTCTGGCAGCTATATCCTTGCTCGGCATTGGATTTCTCTTACTACACCAGCCCTCGAGCTATATTGAAACACAAAATCCGCCTTCATATTTCGCTGCCTTCAACTCGCAGTCATATCTTCAAGGTCCGCCCACCCAACGCTTTCGAGGTCAGTTAATCAGCGAAAATTTCTCTCCTATCTCACAATAATCTCAGACAACCTTCGTAACGACACAAAATACATTACATCGTGGACTTCAGCGGGATGGAGTAAGTCGACTTCAGCCAACTACCACTTGTACTACTAATCACAGTTACTTGTTAGCGAATGACGTGATGACCTATGTAAGTCGATCATCCATTTTTTTTTACATTGATCCTGTTCCTCACAAATACTAGGGCAATTTAATCTACCTGGCACTTATAACAGAGCGTATACCCATAATTGCGAAATTCCTCTCTTCTCATATCGACCCAAGTGAACCTCCATTTCCTTTTGGGGAAGTTTTTGACGTCCCTCGGCTTAGCCAAGCCATAGGGACTCCCCTACTTGAATGGCAGGAAGTAAAGGACTCGGAAAGTCAGGTTCTCGATGATATTGGTTGTTGGAGTGTTTGGGAAAGCGTCGAAAGGTACAAGGAGGATCCCCGTCCCCGTGACAGTCCCAGCATAAATCGGCTCAAGCTCGGTGAGACAACTTCGAATATCTCTAACCAGTCATTAACTACTTGAACACAGATATCTCGTGGACGCGAACCCCAGATTGGGTCAAACTGACACCTCCTGACGAAATAGACGACCACGCGTCCTTTTGGTCACTCGCAACACTTGGGTTTCCAAAGGCTCGCTCCGACAACCTGGGATTACCAAATCGTCCTTCTCCTCAGCATCACGTTTCCCTTCCCCCGGATGATCACTTACTATGCTTTGATTTGCTTTACTTCATAGGCGCACAACGTCCATGGGAATGGGAATCGGATTATTCTCCTGCATGGAGATTTGTAGGCCAACACATGCGATGGAACGCAAGCATAGAAAGGCTTGCCGATACGCATGCCCGACGTGCCATGAATGTGCCAGTCGGTGAACCAACACCTCCCGTGAGTGGAATTTTCGGGTGTAGGTTGATCCGCAGATCTAACTTTCCATAGTATATTTCCGTCCACATACGGCATGGTGACTTCCGCGATCAGTGTCATGGTCTTGCTTTGGATCAATGTTTTGCCTCGTTGCCCATCATTGCACGCAGGGTATCCGAGGTGCAAGAGGAGCTTCGCACTCAAAAGGGGATCGAGGTCACGCATGTCATCATGACGAGTGATGAGCTTGACCCCGAATGGTGGTCGGAGGTCCGGGCGTTGGGCTGGACGTGGGTAGATTACGTGAAAGAGCGAACAGAGGAGATCTACGGAAAATGGTGAGCTGATCAAATGCTATCCTCTTCCATTCTCATGATAGAAACTTGTTGTTCCTGTTGCCAGGTATCCGGTGTTCCTCGATGCGATCATTCAGTCAAATGGAGCGGGCTTTGTTGGCACTCGTGGCTCCACGATGTCCAATCTAGCTCTTCGCAGAGTGCAGACGTGGCATGATGGACCAACTCGGATCGTCCAATGGGGGTGGCCGGGCGCTGATAACCATTGACGTGATTGGAAATTCGGGATGGTGGAACCAAGAGACCTTGCGCTGCAAAAATCATTGGCCGATGTGATTTTTGTTTTTCCAACACGCTCAATGTCCGCCTGGGCCAGAGCTCGAATACACAGCTGGAGTTCGATGTATTCATTCGTTTATAGTACTGGGACTGAGGTTCCCACACGCATTTCGTTTATCTGCTGTTCAGGTGCCGAGGACGTTTTCCCGACCGACCAGACCTCAAACTGAGACTTTTTACGATACCATTACGCACTGTCATTAGGCTAAACCTACAGTGGCGATAAACAATCTTTAATCTTGATAATAAACCGAGCCGTGACCATCTCCTGCTCTAGTTTTCAGTGACATTTATTGTAAGAGGCGCTTAGGCTCTGTTTTCTCCTATGCCAGCCCAGGTTGCCAGAATCAACATCAAGTACGACGAAGGCTTTGTCACCACCCGTGGGTGCCAAATCAAGAGATGAAAGCGCCGCATCGGCACGGGTGGTATAGGGATTTTTCACATAATCTCGTGCACGTGTGGCATCCGCAAGTTATGTATTTTGGCCGTATTCCGAACCAGGTCATGTTTACTACTCAGTCATCAGTGTGCATGGTCACATGGGGTCTGCGACCGTTGTTCCAGCTTGTATGAAAATGTATGCCTGAACTCGGGATCAGAGGATGGTCGGGAAAGAAAAACGGCGTCACAACAAAAATCGAATGCAGAATGAATAATAAATATTAATGTCCTTGATCATTACAATTCATACTTGATATACAAACAAATACCATGCATATAGTTTCGAGTTATCCGTTACGAATGAGATCTCATCCGTCCAACTAATCTTTCAAGCTTAGTGACTTTTTGATCATAAGACATCTGCACAGCACCGGTCAGTACTTGAATCATTGACGCGAGATAAGAGAAGGGACGTACACGTAAAAACTGGAACAGCTTGCGATCTCTCGATTGTTGTCTTTCGACACAAATCGGTTGTGTTTCGTGAATGGTCAGATGAGAATCATCGACATGCCGAGGAGGAAGTGGAATAGACGCAGCAAGAGCAGATAGGTAGGATGAGGGAGAGGCGCTGGTAGAGTCATGGATGTCGGTCGACTCGGCGTGCGGGTGGTGCGTCGTGAAAGTAGAGGGAGTCTTTGAAGTCTCATAGACGGCAGCAGCGACGGGTGAATGACCCAGCCAGGATATGTCGTTCCATGCACGAATCGGCTTTGGTGCCACGATCTGGAAATGGGTGCCCATGTTGCGCGGCGGATATATTGGTGGCTCGCCGATAGCTCCATAGTCGTGATGCTTGCCTGTTGGGATATAAATTTCATCGTCTTCCCGACGCCATTCGTCCCATTTGATCCCGTTTAGGCGACATTTCTCCTCATTTCCCCAGGGACAGGTGATCTCGTATGGAATGCATTTGGATGATTCGTCGCATTGCACGGACGAAGACTGAGTCGAGCTAATGGTCGAGGGAGCCGGTAAATCTTCGTGGACAGCTGCCATGACAGTAGTAAAATGATCCACAAAAATGTCCTGCTCCCTTGCTAGTGCATGTCGCCAGTAATTGACGAAGTAGTCCGTGTAGGTAGGAGAGCGGTCTAGGAAAGACAGGTCGAGCCACTTCGAGGAAAGGCTAGCAAGAGCGTTCAGAGACAAAGGGTCGCATGCGCTAGCATCTTCAAGCAGACTCGTAGCCGTCTTCCTTCTGAAAAAGCGCCCGCGCTTGGCATGCCTGCGCTTAAGTTTCTTGGTAGATGAATTATTGGAGTGTGCAGAAATGCGGGAGGCGTCGGGTGAAGTGTCCCGAGTGACGATAGAGAAGGAAGACGTGGCTTCGGCGCCAGAGACGCTGGACCCGTAGAGTGAATGTAAGGTGGTAGAGTCGGAATTCTGGAGCCTGCCAGAAGTAAGGTGCAGCATGTCGAAAGCCATGAGTTATGAGAAGTTGAATGGATGTGCAAGATGGTGTTGTAAGTCAAGTTGTAGAACGATGCGAAAGCCAGAATGCGAGATTAAATACCTCGACCAATTTGCATGGGATTAAACTGAGACATCCGAGCGACGTCATGCATGATCAGAATTGAATGGAAAGCTGCCCCCTAGTCTGAATCGTAATCACTCAACTGAGACATCCGTACTTGCACGTGGATGCACAATCTACACCCAACAGCTTACCTAGTCGGCGCAAAGGAATGATTTCTCCATGGTCTGACCATGATGTCCCATGGGAGACTAAGCGAGACCGTGAGCGCAGGTGCCAAGCTCAACCAGAGGTTCCGAGGCATGCCATGCTTCTCAAACTGTCACAAACTGGCGGGTGACTGGAGGACGACCTAAGTTATCGTAACAGCGTTGAATAAAAACATCGAGTAGTTGGGGAATCAGCGCCAGCGCTCAGCTCGCTGCTGTGGTCAGTCAATGATGTCGGAATGATGAATGATGAATCCTTCGTGAACGCCATTAGCCACAGACTCTTCAAGCACGGCAACTTCCGCGCTGTTGCGTAGTATGGCTCTGCCAGCACCTTCGCCTATTCATCTGCTACGCTCACATTCCAGCGCAGTGAGCACTCTTTTCATTTCGACGGACAATGAGAGAATCTACTCTGGAGACACCACAGGACAAGCTATCGTCACCTCCACTCGTTCATTGCGACCACTCGCATCATGGAAAGCTCACACCGACTCACTGCTGGGCATTGAAGAATGAGGTTCTCAAATCGTAACGTGAGTAGCTGTCTTTTTCGTCCTGGCATTGTCTTCTGATGCTGTGACTAGACATGGGAGGGATAATAAACTCCACGTTTGGACGCGACCCGAAGAGTCTGCTTCCATCAGACAAGGACCTGCAACTTTGTCAGATCTATCAACACCAACGATATGCTACTCTATGGATGTCAACGCTCTCAACTACTGCAGGTTCTCTCTAGTTATCCTAGCGGGAGCGGGCGCGCAGGAAGGTCTACTTGCCGTTCCGAACCTCGTGGAATCAGCTCTTGTGGGTAATCTCTTTGGTGTGGGGTACGGCGTGATCTCAGTACGAACTGACCAGGCAGATATCTGGTCACTTCCATCTTGTCAAAGGCTCCACGCTGCTATAGGTGATCCACTAGACACCTCCGCAACAGCCTTTTCGGATGGTAGGTCAGGCAGCAAATCCGGGATCATCATGTCAATGCACCTTTTTTACTCTGCGTTGTCTGCACCATCGTCCTCTACGTCGACAAGAGAGCTGCGTCTATTATGCGCATACGAAGATGGGAGCGTTGTCCTGCGAAAGCGAACTGCACCCGAAAACAAACAGACTGTCGAGGGCCGTGGACGGGAAGTGGTGTGGAAATCCAAACTTCATGTAGAATCAGGTTCGTTGTATATGCAACATTTGCATGGGATTCTGACACGTTGTTTTAAGTGATGGCTATGGCAGTTTCTTCAGACTGCACTCTTGCTTTAACAGTGTCTGCAGACCATCTGGTGGGACGATATGATCTTTTGGTTGGTGTCCGAGTAGCCCTGCATGGATTCCCTTAAGATTCTCAACAGACGACCCAGGAAGTGACCTCAGAATCCACTCCCGCAGGAACCGCATTCAAGACCAAACATCCAGGAAATGGCGCTATTGCCATACGGAGTGACGGGAGAGTATGCGCCATTGGGGGATGGGACGGCAAGTCAGTTGACCAGATATCCATGCCATCTGGATCGAGCTAACTTATAATGCAGAGTGCAATTATACTCGACAAAAACATTAAAGTTGCTGGGAACCCTTGTGCACCACAAGCAAGGATGCCAGGCGGTTATTTTCGCCTCTCACATCGATCGTGTACTACTTTGTGGGGATTTGAAGGAGGATGACTCCTCTAGCGACGAGGATGAAATTACTGTTGAGGAAAAGCATGCCCGTGGTCGGTGGCTGATTGCTGGTAGTACAGACGCGAAGGTGTCCATTTGGGCGTTGATGAGTTTCGAGAAGACAAGCACATAAGTTAAACCGATGCCCATGGTAAGATGAGGACATGGCTTATTTTTACTGTAATTGTATTTTTATGCGTCGCAAGCAGCGTCTGAAATAAGCGGGGACTGCTTAGGCCTCCTGATAGCGGGAACAAACATGACCACTATAGAGTTCGTCGAAACCGAGATGAGTGACAAACTAACACCACAACCTCTTAGTCACTCACCTCGCGCATCCGACAATCTACTTGGATTTGTTTCATGTTCAATCAGCACTGAGCACCTGTCAGTCGTTGTCAAGTCTCTTACAGATGTCCCTGACGTGGACGAAGAGCCTTTGCCTCTCCTTGAAAACCAAAGGGACCAGTTTTTTTCTTCAAGGGCATTACTACGCGGGTGGCCGCTCCTAGAGGTATGTTTGTTCTTGGCTAAAACAGAGTTTGTTACTTACTGCACGATAGACGCATCTAATCACCGCCGGCTGGATGAGCTTGCTGAGCTGAATGAACCAGGAGCTGCAGGCAGCTCCGAACATTCTCTGAATACGAGTGGTGACCTATAGAGTTCGGTGTAAGCAACATGAAGTAATGGTACTTGCCACTTGGCCAGTGGCCACACATCAATTTGCTTCTGGGTTAACCCATTTATAGACACTACTAGAAGCCCCGCCGCAGCACATTCAATGCATTGATAAAGGCTCGGATGCCCTAACACCCAGTGGTCATCGATTTATCACCATGCGCTCTCATTCACTCCTGGCAGCTCTGAGCCTAGGATCGGCAGCTCTAGCACTACAGGGCCAATTCCCTCTCAACACTCAGGCTGCTGATAAAACTTCAAGACCCTTCGATATCACCAACTTGCATAATGATAAAACACATTCATATAGTTTCGGTTCGAAGACTGAGCAATGGAGATTTGACGAAGGTCCTGCCGAGAACGCGACAGGGAACTTGATCTTCGACACTGTTCATTCACTCCTGCAACACTGGCCAAACACTCGGTATCGTCATGGTACGTCTTCGCCGTTTTCTGATACTGGAAAAATGTCTATTTTTTTTTTCCGTAGGACATAATATAGTACCAGGAGTGATACCGATCGGTACTTTGCTCTATCACGGCACTAGCCGCAATGCGATACCCAGTGAGCCAGAATGGACCGCTGTGGACCCAGAGCATTCCATTGTTTTCGCTCGTGGAAAGGATGGCTGGCACCTCACGCTGGCAGCAACGCGACCTCTGAAAGTCTTGTACTTTGATGGAAATAGTGCTGCTAAGCTATCCGAGGGTACAATGGATACACAGGATATATTAGCCTGGGGAGAAGTGCAACCTGAACGATGCTGGGATGAAAGACCACGGATTAAAGATCTCTGTAGGTGGGGAAAGGAGCTCGGAATCGACGGTTTCGCGAGGTTAGCGACTCGTCTCACTATGGTATATGACTGATTCTCATACTTCTAGGATGGAAATGGACTTGTGCGCATGCTTCGATTCTGTGTCACGCTGTCGACTGATGAACCTTTAGTGAAGTTATGTTGTGTGATTTTACGGCTGGTGTCGAGGTAGTATCTTTCGCTCATATCCGAAATTCACTGAAGGACCAAAGCCCTCTCCCTCCTCCTCCGTCGGATTCTGTTTCCTGTCAGTATTTTGTTCCCATGTTCCAATACGACTGACGTTTTATGTATCTGTGTGCAGGGATTCGCAGATTTGAAGTCATACACTCCGGCTCATGGCACAATCGCTACCCAGGAGATTCCCGCATTGTGCTTGACCTGACTGGTCTTATCTCACTGTATGATATTGCACTAGTACCATCCCTCATCCCGGTTCGCGCAGGGCTTGAACGGTGGGACCACCGGGTGCTCGGAATCTCGTCGGAGGACATATTGCAGGTGAAGAGAAAGCTCACCGAAATCATCAGTCGAGCAGAACCTGGAAGTGGTATAGACTGGAAGACCCTCACTCACGTCATCGTTGATCGATATGCAGATCGGCTGGAGTTGATGCAATATCTACTCAATTTCACCTCGTCAGATTCGCAAGAAGTCCTCCAGCGAGCGGAGCTCACGCAAGTACAGCTCCGTGTTATGCTCACGCCATACCTATTAGATTCCACCATCGTCCCTAGCGCAGGCGCTTCAGGTGTAGATGCCTTGCAGTGGGCATCCCCAATCTTCAGGCTATGCGCCACAACACACACTTCCGTGATAATCAACCAAATACCTTTCATGACACCTTCGGAACGCTTGCTGTTAAAAGCCGTCGAAGAGACAACAAGAGAAGTCTGTCGGGTCACTACGAAAATGTGGGCCGTGGGTGTCATGAGCGGGCTCGACACACTTTTCCCCATTGACCTGAATGGAGAGCCTGATGTCGCTCAAATAATGAATGACTGGAGACAAGACATCGAGAAGCTGATGTCTTGGTTAGACTGGAGTATATGGATTAAATGCCGACCTGCTTGCGGCCTAGAGGTGGATCCAAATGACTTTTCCCCTAGGCCAGCAGACTGAGCATGATGTACTTGCAGGAAATATGTTATCTTCCTACTTGGCCCGGCAGTGCCCCCGGGCCAAGGCATCCACGTAAACCTCCGCGGGACCCGCGGAACACTACAGATGCACCAGCAGAAGTAGATTATCTTTCTGATGAAGTCGTGCAGACGCCGATGGAGGAATGGAGGAAGCCTCAGCCGAAGTGCATTAGGCGCCTCTCGCCGTACGGATTTTAATCCATGGGCTTTCGCATCATTCTTGCAGTTGTGAGTCACTGATCTGATAGATGTACTTTTTTCTATTTACCCCGGGCCTCTTGAGAATCACGGATGGGCATTGTTGGTGAAGTGAAAATACTAGTATATGTTAGATATGCATGTGGTAGCCTAGACACCTCCGAGTCATCAAGGTATACGATACACCACGTCTGCAACGTACGGTGCACTGGCAGGTCCTCCGTATATCGATTATCCGAGGTAGAAACCTATAAGCGGCGCTCTCTCTGTCCTTTACGAAATCGATAATTGGATACATGATCTGTGCGTTTGTTGACTAGATCTGTATTCTGGGAAATTTGGAATGAAGCACACTGCAGACTCAAGACGCGCAAACCTTCAAAAACCTGTTGAAATGAAAGACCCAGCGACGCACCAATAACGAACCAGATTCACTGCTGGTAAGGACGATATACTTTCGTGAATAGCAATGGAATGAAGAAGCGAAAGGGAGGTGGATCGCATGTCAACTGAAGGGCTTGCAGGAAGTTCGTCATATATATAATTGCTGAACTACTAGCAAGATTAACTGATCATGATAGTTACAGCAATGAGCATCGGGGTAATAGATATTTGGGAGAGGCCTATAAATATTATTGTACAACATACAAGGAAAATACCGGGGTTGGGCAAACAGGCGGAAATCTAGTAAGTCCGAATTCGGAAGTTGCGGCATTTCTTGAAAAACAAATTCAAAACAACTGAGTTCTGATCGTTCATGTTATTAAAAACAAGGAGAGGATAAATAACTGCCGCTCACTCACACATTCAATCAAACATCCCCATTGCCATCCAATAATCCACCCACTGTGCCGCGTCTGCCGAAGACAGTTCCTTCAACTCCTTCATCGTTGGACTGGCGCGTTCAGCTACGGAGGTGGCGAATAAAGTCATGCCACCTGCTTCAGTGCCCATCTCTCCAGACGCCCTGATCGCGATGTCTGATTGAGCCATGGAACGCATGAAGTTGAGAAGCTTGATAGCAGGCTGTAATTGAAAACTGAATGGAAAACGTTCCGATCAACTATCGAGATACACGTACGATACGCTTCATGGTCTCTTCGCTCAAGTTCTTGGCGCTCAATTCGAGCTTATTGAGCCACTCCGAGAATGGCACAAGAGGTAGCGGGTAACTTGTTACTTTATGCTCAACCAGGGCGTCCGCCATGGGCTGTATCAACATGTTCCATGCGGTCGGTCTCGGATGAACCAGATTCATCACGATGGGAGGTTCTTCTTTCGCGAAAGCTACATCAAGAATAGAATTTGATATGGCGTGGGGAGGGATCCAAGACACAAACTGAAACGCGCATGTCATGAATAGATACCCTTGATAGTGATGAACTCACTCCTTTAGCTTCCGGAAGTGCGCCTAGGATTACACTTGACTTGACGATGATCGGTACCCAGTTTGTCGTGGACCAAGCTCCTCGCGGGGGTCCTCCTGATACTTGTCCAATTATGAATGATGATACTGGCAACTTGCTATTGACGAGAACCTTATCGGAAACAGCATTCGTAGAATCCATGCCCTCCCAAATAGCTTGTGACTTACCCTTTCCGAAACATATTTGCTTGCGCCATAGCCAAGACCTACTGCAACCCCTGCATCATATTCTACTTCTTCAGGGAATGGTCCTTTCGCTTTATCCCAACTTTGAGCAGATGAGATGGAAGATGCGAACATGAAACGTGGCTTTGGATGACGCGGAGAAGATAGTGCCAAGTCTATAAGATTCCGCGTTCCCCGCACATGAGTGTCGAACGACGAGAGCGCCAGGTTGAAGTCAAGTCGCCAAGCGTTGTGAATGATGACAGTGACAGACGTGCAGATCTACGCTATCTTCAGTTAATTCAGTGACACCTGAAATGACGCAAACCTTTTGATATAGCTCCCTATCCAGACCTAGGCGATCATCAGATGTATCAGTTTCCACATACACTAGTTTTTTTGACTGAAGCAGGTTAACATTTAAACCGCGATCTTTGAACGAGTCCTCCTGTCGTTGTTGAATGGATGCCCCCTTTGACGGGCGATTGAAGGCATATACCACAGACACATCCTCGCGCTGGAGTAGGTCTGCAAGTAGGTATGACCCAAGACCACCCGTTGACCCGGTCAGGACAACCACATGATTGCTTTGGTTGCATCCATTGACTAGAGCGGTGTTGACCTCTGTGACAGAGTCCCCTAATCCGACTGAATACTTCCTTATCATGTTCTCGATATCAGCCTTGGCATCGACGGTACTTGTACCATTTCGTTGCAATACTGCATCAATGACGCTTATCGCGAGCCGGCGAATTGAAGGACTTGAAAATATGATGTTCTGGTCAATCCGCGATGCTGATGCCTGAAGGTCGCGATCTGAAGATGAGCTGAGAGAGCCGATAATGCGGTTTTTGAGGAATGTCGCGGAGAGACTAGATGTACGGAGTAAGCAAAGCACTGGCCTTGCTAGTTTTCGACCAACCTGTCAAAGCCCTGAGCAAAAAGGTCTGCTTCAGGATCAACTGCCTTGTCGGCGTTCACAGCAGCAGCGTGGACCTTGAGCCATCCCTCGACGTCTTCCGCAGTCCAGCTTGTAGGCAAAGGTACATCGGTACCTGCTCTAACGCTGCCCTCCACCTTTTCATATCTGTCGCCCGTGAAGTCTAGTTGACAGAGTGACGAATGGATACTATAGTATGCTCACAGTGCATTGATTTCCTTCTCGTACAGCTTGACGGTTGCTTTCTTTGTGACGGTCCCTTTCCCAGCTCGAAGCATGGGCTTCTCACTGCGTGTCACAAGAATCATCTCTTTGAAGATCCTGCTGAAGGCAGGAGCCTCTTTATTCGCTTCCTCTATGTCCGTCCTTCAAGAACATTTTCAGACTCAACAGTAGCATACGATCTTTTAGGGGACTTACCACACTCGATTCCTAAACTCAGCAAGTTGTTTCTCATCATCAACGTCAATTTCGCACCCTGCTCGTGGTTCTATGAGGACCCCAACTTGGTTCCGTCCACGGCCGAAGACGACGGCGCCGGCTACGTAGGGGTTGACGCAGATAATGCCTTCCATGGGAGCTGGTACTGTCTTCTCCCCGGAGGAGAGTACCAAAACGTCGTCCATTCTTCCTACGCTGCAAGGAAATGTCAGAAAACATAAATATTGTAAATTTTGATTTTACATCTTCCACAAACCCTCTATCGTAGGGTGCTTGATGAATACATCCGAAGTAGCATAACCTTTGACGTCCGGAAGATTCTCCACTGACACTTGATGCGTTGGGGTTGTCTGCGAGAAAATGTTCAACGCTGAGGCAGTGCTTACAGATCAACTCGGACACGCACCAAAACTTGACATTCGTATGTGCCATCGTCCTGTGGAGCCCATCTGATCTTCGAATTTGGTCCAAATCGCATCCATTCCCACAACATTTGATCGACCGAATTTCGGATGGAATAAGTGAGTATACCAAATTCTGTAGCGCCGTAACCACAAGAAATCTTGACCCCCGCATTCACCAGGGAATTTCCCGCCTTAGGCGCGAGAGGACCACCACCATAGGCCTGCATTGTTATCAACGAGTCATTCCTTGTCACAGCATTAACAACAAACTTACAATATATACCAGGGTTTTCAGAACATCGACAGCACTCGGCGAAAATGCCCATTGTTCCAGAAAGGCAGGCACGACTATCAAAGCGTTCGATTTCGTCTTGAGTATAGAGTCCAAGATATTTTGCGAGTTCGGTACTACGGGGGTCGCCAAGGGATCGAGGAGGGATGTAGGTGGGTAAATAGACGCACTGCTCAGGGTGGCGATGGGGGCAAACAGCTGAAAATGTATACCAAGGGTATGGAATGATGGCAAAGATGCACCACAGTTGCGGATGGGAACAGGAAAGTCGACGAGGTCAACCATACATGCTAACGTCACTCCTCTTAACATTGTCCGCTATACAGGTTATTTAATGACTCACGCGTTATGCACCAGTGGATGGCAGTCAGGTTACCTATTGGAATGGGTTTGGGAAAGCCAGTGCTGCCAGAGGAGTGCAAGTAGAATAACACATTGTTCTCAGACAACGGCAAACGTGGGAAAGAGTACGGGACAATATCCTCAATTAGAGTTCCACTAACGAGCGAGGGGTACAGGTGTTTCAGCGCCGGAATCTCGTCGATCTGCAGCTGACTCGTTTGAGTTACAGACACAAAACTCGCTTTGATTCCGTCGATCAGGGAAGCAAGAGAGTGCTGAGTCGTGATCAAACGACGGCATCCTGTTTTATGCATCATGCTCGTGACTGCCGCCACGGAATTACGAGGGGACATGGGGAATGGCTTGAAATATTAGCAGTGATTAGAAACCCGTTCATTTAAAAAATCTAAATACATACAACTAGCCCAGCGAATATTATACCCATGAATACCGTCTGGTAAAGAAGGGTGTCGGAGTTCGCGATGAGGGCAACCACTTCTCTGTCTGCGCCTGCACAGGCTGGCCTGATTGCCTGGGCGGCCCGATGACAAGCTCGATAGAAGTCTAAATGTGAGATAGAGACCAGGCAATTGCCGTCAGGTTTGTCGTAGACAAAGAAGGGGACGTCCGAGTTATGCTGCGCATTGAATTCCACCAATTCAGGGATGGACAGAGATCCATCGAGGGGAGGGTAATTGACCATGATGAATGATTGTAGACGCTAAGGCCGACTCGATCGTGCACGAATAAGTAGTCATTTTCAAGCGGCACCTTGAGGAAAATCCCGCGGGGATTGATTGTTAGGTATCGCGCCAATGGGGAAGTAAACAAGGCCGTCTATTCCGTTATTATCTATAGACCATCTATCAAGAAGGCGGCGCTGATGCTGATCTGATGGAGGCAGCTGTGCCATTCCGAGTGAAGTGGCAACGTAAGAAGGTAATGACAATATCTCGTCAGCTGTCCAGCATCGGAGACGCCAAATCTCTTTCGGACCAAAAGGGGTATCGGGGGTTGCAGTCGTATGATGCGAACCTGTACTTCCATTATGTATACAGGCTCAGTATTAATATTCCTAGCCAGAACAGGAAGGTCGGCGAGGTTGGGCGGCGGTAGCGCCTCCTGACGAGAACTTTCGCAGGTTCAAAACCGCTACCATGCCCGCCATCCTAGCGCTGCTCTTACCCTCCCATAAGGATGAATGCAGCAGATACTGAGAACGTGGTCTATCTCGCGACGCCCCGACTTAGGCTTTGCTCGTCAGTCACTACAGATATCCCCAGTAGGACTGCTCCTTGTTCGGCTATAGCATCCGAGTGACCCGACCCCAGGGACTCCTCAATTGATTGAGCGAACTGACAGGGAAGCGTAGCCCGCGCCAGAAGCGTTCAGCGGGGCGCGATCGCTAGCTAACCACTGCCTCCTTGCTACTGCAGGGGAGTACAAGTCCTGTTGCACGACTGCAATCGCGAAAAAACGATCCGGCCAGTGGCATCCAGTGGCCATGACCCACCGGGGCAGCGTACGGTTTGGCTGACAGAGGCAGGCAGGCGGAACCGAGCTTTGCCGCAAGGTTGGCCTTTATCTATAATCCAATCACGAGGACTGCGCACCATAAGGTACATTAATTGTCTTTGACATTGAGACTGTTTCGGTACCTAATACTGGAATATTTCGGATCCATGCAAGTAGACGATGCTGGATCTGGGCTGCATGTAGCAAAATGTTGCCACATAGTAACCTTCATTAAGCATCACGATTTCACTGGAAGCACTGACCGAGTCCAAGTTGGACAACTACCCTACAGATGGGCCAGCGAAGGGCAAGAAGTGCATGAATCAGCACCATCATGTACCTTCCTAAGGTTTGATGAGCCGTCTCACACCGGAGTTTGAAATTTGAAATTTCAACGGTCACACAAATAACTCGGTCAATGAATTGTCAAAACTACGAAATCCGATACCTCCTGCAATGCTGCAACAAATACTCATAATAAAAGCACAAGCACAGTACCAGCACAAATAACATATCCACGGGGTGGATTACGCTACAGAGTGTGACAGGGTGCTACAGAGCACTCTGTAGCAAATTATGGTTCTCTGATGTTCACCCACTCAACTCCTCCAATACTGGGCTAAATCATGGATCCGATCCAGCACAACCGTGAAATATGACGTCTCGTTCAACAACGCCTCAAAATGCTTGATCGCCTCCTCCTCCGTCAAGTCCAACCGGAACTTCTCCTGGATCTGCTCATGCACGTCGCGATGCTTGATGTCTGGAATGTTTGCGTCCACCATGAGCGCTACCAAGTTGAGAATCAGGTTGGCGCTTTTGCGGAGAATCGTAAATGCGGTAAAGCAGTAGTTTTTGAATCGCGCGTAGTGGGTTGATTGGGCTCCGCCCATGCCGTCAACCATCTCTTTGCAAACTTTGACAGGAGGAGGAAACGGCTTCGGGTCCCGGCCGAGGATATACCCAAAATCGACTGCATTAAATGTCAGCAGTACGAAATATACAGACAAAGTTACACTGACCATGGAAAAAGTGACCTGTGGAGGCAATATTAAAAACTGAATCCTTCTGGTCATAATTTTACTTACCATCCGGTGTTAGTAGAAGGTTGTCTAAATGCCGATCGCCCACGCCCAGCAGGTATGTCACAACGCAGTATCCAGCTGTTATCAAGGCTTAGCGCACATCCCCCAGCCAGGATCGCAGAACAAGACTCACCACAGCTGCGCACAAATGTATCGATAACACTCGGCTCGACCCCATACGTTCCAACGCTACCCTCATCCGGGTTATTCGCTCTCAAATAGTTTAAGAGCGTCCCATTCTCACTGATAATCGCCGCGATAGTCTTGCTGGGGATAAACTGTGCCATGCCCTGCAACGGCCCAGTCGCCAGCACATCATAAGGAATGAGCTTCAAATCCAAATTTTCCTTCCTGAGCAACTGATCCATGAGTGTGAACAACTGGAGGACAAGCTGATCCTGGCGCATGTCATCGCCATCTTTGAAAATCACAGGATACTCCGTGCCGTCAGAACACTGGAAATATAACAAGAAGGGGTAGAGATTCGACTTGAAGACTGAAGACTTCTCGGCGTTGATGCCCGTAATCTCCATGCGTGCGTTTAGCGGCAGAGGCAGAGGAGGAATGTTGACGAGCCCATTCTTGGAGTCGTTGATGAAGGAGCGGAGTTTCTCGATTTTTTTGGGTCGTGGGTCTTTAGAAGTGCGCAGTTCCTTGGCTCGTTTGGCGAGGGTCTCGACGAGGATGCCTTGGCGTCGCATGAGCTCGCGGCGTTCACTACCATTCTCAGACTAAGAAACCGTTTCATCAGTGAGGGTGAACGCAGGGAAGAATCCAATACCTCCAAAATCTTGCTCAGAAACTTGAACACCACCCGCCCGTACATTTTCGCTACGACCCTATCCTCCAACTCTACTTCTACTATGAGATACCAATACAACCGGTTACCTAGTATATGGTTTTGTACTCCACGTGCGATCAAAAAGTCTGTCAGCCCGCTATCGTCATAAGATATTGCACTTGTTGTGGATCGACTCGAGCGCTGTTCGCTAGCGGCACTTTCAAACTTGAGCGCCTGTACGAGTTGCAAGAGATACAATAGAAGCTCCTGCTAAGATCATCAGTGGCGCGATCACGTAGGCAAAAGAAATGTTTGACTTCATCATCGGCACGGTTAAGCTGTCGTACTGCAAACGCTCTTACTCTCGAGTCTACGGTCCCTGGTCCGAGGAGCTCCAATGCATCATCCGTATCGACCTCTGTCCACATTGGCAGTAGCTCCTCCACTGCTTGCTTCACTTCCGAAGGATCGCGCCAAGTGACAGATTTGAGGAATTTGGTAAGCCCGCGCTTGTCCCGTGCGAGGTAGAAACGAAACTTCCAGATGAGGTCTTTCTCCTCGGAGTTAAGAGGTTGGGAGGGTGCATAATTGAGTATTTCCTAAAAACAGCGTGTGAGGAAGTCAACGATGCATAACGACTTAATATTTTGCGCACATTAAGTTCATCTCTGAGCTTGGCATTTGGTTTGAGCTCTCTGTCGTACGGACTACTTCGGTGACTCCGTACGAGCCGGCGATGCTTGTCTTCCACGGGGTTTTCACGTGCAATCTCGGGGTCAAGGATGGCCCAGAGGTGTGAATCTGTAGCAAAATGACTGGGAAGTACAGGTGTGACAGGTGTCTGACCTGCAGCTGGAGGTGCGAATGGTATCGTTGCCTGATTCTGGGCCTCCTACAAAAAGTCAAAACGTCAAGGAAGCTACGTGCAAGAAAGGGACACTAACAGCTTCGCTAAATATCACGGGAAAGTCGAATCGTGGAAGGTCGACATAAAGGTACATATTCTCTGATTTCTCTGTCTCCGCCTTCAGTCCTCTTTAAGTGTTTGCATTTGTATTTAATTGTAAAGGACTTACAGCATGTATCTCTTCCATCTTTCTGAAAGCCATGTTGTCTAACCAATCTGACTTTGGCAAATCGCCACGTTCGTATTTCTTCACGAGCTGAGGGAAAGACAAGCAATGAGCGAGCGTACCAGAGCACTGGGATATCGCCGCACCTTCTCTAAACGACCCATTTCATCCCTACTGCCGAGTTTACTGGGAGTTTTGGTCTGCATGGAGCCGTCCGCTTCTTGACCTGCCCAAAGCAATAAGCGGTGTTTTCCCCGGCGCAAAGTCCTGACGCAGTGACCGTATGATAAGCATTGCAATGTAATGCAAATATACCTGACGAACCATTTCTTTCCAAACATCCTAAACGTTGAGCCACCGACAGGCACCGCTGTGCGTGGAGCCCCAATATCCCATACAGTAAATGTTATTTGCGAACTTAATGGGAGGTCGCAGTACCGAATGGGTAACGTTATCCATTCGTTCCATCTGTATAAGTAGTGAGCTCAATATAAATAAGGGTGAAATAAGGCGTACGTGTAGTTGTTCTTGAAAGCTTTGAAGGAAGTGCGGAAGGGTATGGTCAGCGGCTTGTTATCCGCCAGCAGCTGGCAGGAGACATAGAGGTCTGAAAAAGCCCTGAAATTCGCATCAATATAGAGAAGCTAAATATCAGAGGAAAACGCACGAAGATTGTGAACCGTGAAGTCTCAGTTCTGGGTTCTCGAGTAGCTCTGAAACAGATGGTTGTGGTATTGATCCCTCTAACTGAGAACTGGTGCTGAGTGTGGGCAAGTAGCCTGCAAAATGAGTAATAATGCGTACATGCGAAAAGTGACAGGAAGCTTGAGATCAGAGAGCTTTGCGAAAGTGAAGTCGTCTCGGTTGTCCTTGTCCATGAAGAAACGAAGTACTGTGACGTAAGTACTATGTAGTAGAGGATCTAAGGTAAGCGAATGCATCAAACATCACGTGACTAACACAGCTCAAGCGCTCAATATTCAATCATAATTAGAGCATCGACTAATCAGTCGCAACGTTTATTCATGAATCATGTCTGTACATTGCACCACCTTGGGTGCTTTTCGTGACAAAGATAAATAAGCAAGTCGAGTTAAAGCTGCTCCGCTCCAACCATAAGCTGATCTATTCAGGCTTGTAATCGGGACGCAGCGACCGCACAACCTTGCCCGCACGCCAAATCTCCTGGTCGTCAATCTCCTTCAGCTCTTTGGCAAGATCTTGGCGGTACGTCGAGCGGCCATTGAATTCGAGAGACTTGCGGGTCTCCGTACCATTTCGCACGCTCTCGTACAACTGCTCAAAGATCGGCGTGTTGGTCTTCTCAAAAATGGGTGCCCAATCAAGCGCACCGCGGCGAGCTGTTGTGGAGCAGGCGTTGTACATGTAATCCATGCTATAAACCATGAGGGAAATGATACGCGATGACAAAACATACACTCACCCCTTCTGTCCAACCAGAGGGTACAGGGATTGAGTGGCCTCCTCGACGGTTTCATTGAAAGCTTCTGAAGGAGAGTGGCCGTTGGCACGGAGCACCTTGTACTGCGCGCAGAACAGACCCTCTAATAAATAATCAGTTGAGAATAACTTGCGGCGTGAGAACACATACGGATGGCACCCATGAGCACACCACGTTCACCATAGAGGTCGGAGTAAACCTCCTTCTCGAAGGTAGTCTCGTACATGTATCCTGATCCGACAGCGACACCAATAGCAACGGCCTTTTCCATGGCCTTACCAGTGACGTCCTGGAAGACGGCTACACTGGAGTTGATTCCACGACCCTCCTTGAAGAGGGTGCGTACGGTACGGCCAGATCCTTTGGGTGCGACTAAGATAACATCAACATCCTTGGGGGGTATAACCTTTGTGTCTTCCTTGTATACAACAGAGAAACCATGCGAGAAGTAGAGAGTCTTGCCCTTGGTGATCATAGGTGCAATGGTAGGCCACGTTTGTGATTGTGCAGCATCAGAGAGAAGGTTCATGATGATCGTGCCGCGGTTGATGGCTTCCTCGATGGAGAAAAGTGTTTCTCCGGGAACCTAATGATACATTGATGTGTTACATGAGATGCTTGCGGCCTAACAAGTCGATATGAACATACCCAGCCATCCTCCTTAGCCTGCTGCCAACTCTCGCCATCTTTACGGACACCAACAATAACATTGAGGCCGTTGTCACGAGCGTTCAAGCCTTGACCGTGGCCCTGAGAACCATAGCCAATAAGGGCGAGGGTATCATTCTTGAAGTAGTCCTGGAGTTTCGCGAGAGGCCAGTCGCTCCGCTCGTACACAACTTCCTCGGTGCCAGCAAAGTTAAGCGTCTTTACACCTCGAGCAGCCTGTGATTAATGGTTTTTGGGCGTCGGAGCTTATTCAGTCATCACGGTGAATTTTTATTCACCTGCAGAGTGGATTTGCGCGAACTGCCTGTTAAAGCCTGGCGAGCAAGCAACGAGTAGGACGCAATCTGTGCAGGCTTGGCTGCAATTTTTGTACCGGCACGGGGTGCACGGCGAGAAGCAGCGCGGAGGGCTGAGGCTGAACGAGATGCGATGGAGGCCATTTTGACTGGAGAGAAGATGGAAAGGTACCTGAAAGGTACAGTAACTTTTGATAATCAAAATTTTATAGTCTAAGAACCTATTCGAGTCATATATCAGCCAACTATAACGTACACGGTGGCAGCCGTGTCGTAAGTCTGGGCCACCATAAGTGCTTCAAGCTTGCACGTACATATATTTCAATCGATTGTCAGATCACAACCCAAGTACCACTGTCACCATAATCAAAAAGGAACGACCATGCGGTCTGACCAGGGGAGAGTGACGCATTAACTTGAAGCTACGAACGCTGTACACTAGACACAAGCTTCCATAACCGATCCTCTAGCGCCTCGATAGTCACACGTGGAGTATTCAAGCTACTCATGAAGTACGCCACGTTACCCAGCGTCCTATAATGCACCCCAAAAGGTGCACCTCCAGGGGCCGCAGACATAGATCCATCATCCAGTGGTAATCGCAAGCTCTGGAGCAGAGTCTGAGCTGAATGCGATGCATAACCTGCATCACCAAGTTACATGAGCAATCTAAACAACAAAATATAACAGGATCGATATTACCTGCATCATCATCCTTGAACTTGATAGCAAGCACGGTTCCCAACGCCATTGCTTCCTCAACGATATCCAGGCAAGATATCGAAGTGATGAACTCCGGATCCCAGAAACTCCACGCTCTCGTTGCAGACGCTCCTTCAGGCATCCATTTACTAATTGCCCCCACCCACAGATCACTCTCCGCCAACCTATCAACCAAATCAAGCGTCGCATTCGCAACCTGACATCCAACAGCATGCGCTGTATAGCTATGTCCGTGCAACAACGCGTCCGCTTTGCTCTCGCTCTTGAACGCCGAAAAGATACGGTCGGACGCGAGTATTACTGCCAAAGGCAATACACCGCCGGTGAGAATCTTAGCATTTACTGAGATGTCGGGGTAGATGCCGAGTAGAGGGCCTGCGCTTTCGAATCCTAGGCGGTATAGCCCCACAAAGACTTCGTCGAATATGACTGGCAGAGGTGTAGGGAAAAAGGCGGGGTCGCGGACGACGTCGACCATGATGCGTTGGAATAATGGATCTACAAATATCATTCCTCCTGCGCCCATTACGATGGGTTCGATTAATAGTGCTGCGAGGTTTCGGGTGTTGTCTGCCTGGAGGCTACGCATGTGTTTATCTAGGTATTGCCTGTAGTGTTTTGCAAGCGGAGATTTGAGACGCTGCTTAACATTATAGATATTAGAGAGTGTTTCAAATCCTTCGACCGTCCGCTGATCACTGGTGAGAGACGACAGAGCTGGAGGAAGCGAAACAGCGACTCGGCCTTGCCGAATAGACACAGTGGGCGGCTCAAACCAATAACCCTTCGCTTCGTGCCATTCACAAGTATAAACTCCCTCCTCACAAGCATCCATAGCCCCAATCGTGTCTCCATGATAACTCCCCCTCAGTCCAACAACCCTCAAATTCTTCTTCTCCGGCGAACTCAACTCGAGTCCAGAGCTGACGACGAACGATCGTAAAGCCATTTTAAGCGCAACCTCCATTCCAGTAGATCCGTTATCTGAGAAAAATACGCGGGAAGCCCAGCCTTTGCCCGGTCCTTGCAGGAGGCGTTCAGCAAGCTTCAGAGCAGGCATATGAGTTGCCTGCGGAAACATAACATGGCCGTAACGTCCGGCTGCGTTCGCGACAGCAAGCGCCAGTGTCGGATGTGCATGTCCGACAGCTTGGGTCCACCATGAAGCGGACCCGTCCAGTTGGGGTTGCAGGAGCGATTTTGGCTGCGAAGGTGAAGTTTTCCCGGAAGCGTCATAAATGCTAAAGAAATCTGACCACGCGCTGTCGATGACCGAAACGTCCTTCTCGGTCTTGACCAACCCGTGTTGTACGAACGGCCACCAGATCGCGTCGAGCGTACGACGAGGCATCGAGTCTAGTTCTTCGATACGTCTGGCGTGACACTTGTTTAGATGTTCGAGTGCAGTGAAAATATCGCCTTGAAGGGTGTCTGGGACGAGATCCGAGTAGTATTTCTCTGTATTCGCGACGTTCTCTGCAGAGTCGAGGCGCGGGGGAGGAGGATCAAGAGCAGTGACGTGCGTCCCCCGTTCTGCAAAATACTGCGTCAAGTATTCATAATTCCTGTAGTATTCGTCCCGGAATAAAAGGATCGCATCTACGATGTATCCACGGAGGAGGAGGGACTCGAATGATGAGATAGTTGATGATATACCACCGAGTCTGGAGTCTCCGATTAGTATGGTGGGGAGGAAGAGGGGGCGATAGGCGTCTAGTTGGGTTGTTCCGGAGAGCGTTGGGCTGTGGACGCCTGAACGAATCAGTTGGCATGAAGTGTTATAAATTGAAGAAACGCGTCGAAGTAGTGCTCACCTCCAGCAGTCTCCACATACATATGACCCGGCCCACTTGCAACCCTAGCCCGCTTTCTAATATGCTCTGCAACAGAGCCGACGAACGTTTCATCCGAAGGTGCCGAAATCTTCAAGTTGTCCCAAGTTTCAACATCAGTTCATCATATGCCACACCAACAGCCACTCACTTTGAGTCCATCCTGAGTCTGAGAAGCCATCCTGACAGCAAGATGCGGACTAACGGGGTCTTCATAGCGGAACAAGCAATGAGCGTCCAGTAGATGCTTTTGCGGCCCCGCATGGCGTTTTACATGTCTAGCATAATTCAGTGGCGCGTTCTGGGCGATGAAAAACACGTACTCATCATCCGCATCCTGCGGTGCACCAGTGCTCACCGGCTTAAGATAAAAAACGCGATTGCTGTTAAGCGCCGAAGACCGAACGAGAGCAGTAGTGATGATGGTCTTTCCAACATCTGTGTTCGCTCCGAATACTTGGTGGATTCGAAGATGTTTGTAGAGATGGCTCATTTCATGGCAATTGCGAGGGGTCGAACGCGATCGTTTCCCGGCCCAGTGTCGGAGTTAGCACGGCCCTCTGTGAGGTTCATCATGATGTGAAGTCACACACTGCTACTTACGTGACAATGACTCGGATATATTGTATCTTGCATACTGTCAAGTAGAGTTGAAAAAAAATAGTGCGTGCATGCTACAGGTCGCCCTCTTTCAGCATCAATCAATGCGGCGAGAAGGAATTGTTCAACCATCCCACTGTGATGAACTTAGCGGTCCGAGCGTTTCCGAGACTAGCGGACCCTTCAACATAGTATTTTGTCACGCCTTACCTGTGGCGTTATTCCTTGCTTGTGATCTCATCTATTCTACCGCCGCAACCTTGTAATAAATCATATTCAGCCTTCTCTCTTCAGAGTATCGTCAGCGATTCTGACAATGGGTTTAGGGTGCTGTTGACATTAGATCAAAAGCAATCACTACTACCAAATTTCTCTTCGCACACCAGCCCCTATTATGTCCACCACCAATAACACACTCGACTCTGACCAAAACATGTCTTCTCCAAATGAAGGAGAAACTGGAGTCCTATTCCAACTCCTTACACAGCTTGTACAGGGCCAACAGGATTTTGGACAGGCGGTAACCCAGATTTTGGCTCAACCTGCACCAGTTGCACCAGCACCGCAGGTGACACAGCCACAGCCCACTGCACCTCCTAAAGCGTCGGTTGCCGAACCAGATGCTTACGACGGGAAATATGACACATTCGACACCTTTATGAGTCAACTCTACCTGTTGTTCTCTGGCAAACCAGCTGTATATGCTAATGATCAGATGAAAATTGTCACCGCCCTATCCTTTATGAAGAAAGGTTTCGCAGGAACCTGGGTGACCAATATTACGATGAAGTCGAGGGAAGGAACCATAACATTCGCCGACTGGGCGGTGTTTGAGAGGAAGTTGAAAGAAGTATTCGATGACCCGAACAAAATGCGAGCTGCTCAAGTTAAACTCCACACGCTGAAGAAGAGTCCCAAGCAACCTGCAGAGGCTCTGCTCGATGTCCTACAGCAGAACCTCAACAAACCAACTTTCGATGCTATTGTAGCAGCACCACAGGTAGACTGGACCCTGTTGGCCTGGAGGGACTACGCAAAAAGATATGATAGGAATAAGAGAGCTAATGAAAGAGTTGATATGGGAGAAGTTACGAGCGGAAGGAGATTTGGTGAAGGACGAGCAGGACCAGGGTGGATTAGGCCTGGAAATTTGCCGGGAGGATGAGGCTATCCGAATGTGGGGGCATCAGGGACCACTGGCATGGGCATGGGGTCAAACGGGCACAGGGCATGTCAACACCAGGGGTGGACATACCTTTCCAGGACGTGGTGAACCTATGGACTTGGACTGAGCACGTGGACATATTGGGCCGATGAAATGCTATAACTGTGGAGAATTAGGTCATACTGTAGAGTTGTAGCTTCGCGCCCTTTTGGGTGTGACCATGTCACACTTAGCTTCGCAGCTTTGTAGGCCCTTGTGACGTGTGACCTATCCAAATTAGCTTCGCCCCGACCAAATGTTCAAGTCGCAACCCGACTCGGTGCAACAATCTTCTCTCTTCCTTTTGGTGGTGACATGGACCACAGATCCTCACGTTGTTGCCCTCTGCCATGGGAGGACCCCGACTGCTCCCTATATTGCATGTCCACCGGTAGTGCCTTGCAAGTCCTCGAAATTACCCATCCTATGCTCCTAAAAGTGCGCCTCCCAAGCCTGTAGCGCATACCCCATGTCCATTGGTAGCGCCTCGAGAGGCCGTGAATCCATGCTAATATTAGTACACTGACCAACTTAGTTGCCTGGTTTTCCTAAACAGACGCTGGAATTCACCATGTAGCTATGTTTACTGACATATGGTACACTTGCTGACGCTCCAGCATTCTGCAGACCACTGGGAGGAGCTTCATGCTCCCGTTCATGCCATCTTTGGTTGGGGACAAGAAGGAGGCCTACTATCTTTGAAATTGAGTCAGGCAGATTTTCTCCTTATACACAACTTTCTGCATACCTTTGCCCATGTTGAGCAAGATGTCGGAGAAGGATCCTGTCTGTCTGCAATGGTTCCTTGAATGAAAACAGCACTTGAGCTCTGGTGAGTTATCATTTTGTCAGGTGACAGCAACTCATCACTCACCGAACAATTGTAGTCAAAAGGCTCCTCAGTCACCTGCACATGAGTCGTTGACGTGTGCTACAAGCCATGGAAACCAGTTGGTATTGCACCCCTCTCATACCACCAGCACGGCATCATCCACGAAGTGTGTGGATAACCAGACAAAGGAGTGTATTGAGATTTTGGAGAGTGACGAGTCAGACGCCCACACTGATGATGAACAGCAAGTATTGAATTAGTAACTCGAAAAATCAAAGACTAAAGTCCAAAAGAACGCACTGGAATTGAGTTCAGGCAGCTGCAGGCTCGAGAGTACAGCAGACGACCCCTGAACAATGAGTCATAATGCAGGCCAATATACCCATTGTCGCCGCCAACCCTGATCCATCAGAGTTGAACTTGTCATCATCCAAGTCCACCATGTCTACTATGGAGGCCAAGGTACATCTTGATCTCCATACACCAGATGAAGACGCCAATGGGGGATTGTTCAACTTTTTCTGGAAGATACCCCATGAACAGTATCTGAGGGAGGTTAATACCCCATTTGCCTGGGAGATCGAGCAGCTGCGAACATGACAGTCATTTTCTGCATGTGCAGGAGCTTGAACGTGTTGAGCATAGACATCAGGGTGCCACTGAATGGAAAAGAAAGCAACGAGCAAGGGAGAAAGCAGTATGTATTAATTTGTTTAGTTATAGTACCATTTTTTAACGTGTGCTACAGGCTCAAAACTTAAATGATGCTTTGCACGATCAGGGAGAGGCTACATCATTGAATGTTGCAGAAGCCTCTCGTCCCTGGTGTGAATTGAAGTGAAAGCATCAGGAGGAACGACCAACAGACCAGGTTGGTCGTAAATGAACTCGAGAAGCTGGAGCCTGCTATGAGGGTCAACTGGCAGAGCCCACTGTTGTGGGATACAATCCTACGTGCCGCTGCTTATTGTAGGATATGGCATGTCTCCGAAATCGATCGAGAGGGAGGTAAAGGTGCTAGACCCAGTGAAATTCAAGGCACTTACTCCACAGGTCATTGGCCAATGGATTGATCGTACTGGCACACGTCCAAGGTAGACTGACAAAGTTCTTGATCGCACTAAACATGGTGCTCGTCCAGAAGACACAATCACCCGCAAATCCATCCTTACTCCATATCCCAATGTCATCAGTGTCATTATCAAGGACCTCTGCACGCTTCGCAAAGCTGGGACTGCATTGGATATCACACGCTGCCGAGGCCTCATTATTGCACATCTCCAAAATGCTATTCCCCATATCTTTGACCACATCGCAAAGGATGGCTCGACCTTTCGCTGCACAGAGTCGTGGGTTAAGAAGTTCCTGTTTGAACATCTTCGCTGGTCATTTCGTTGTGCCACTCGTGCAGCACAAAAAATCCCCGAAAACGCCGATGAATGCTGTCTTGAACAGTTCTTGCAGCTCGCACTCACCATTCGTGATTGTGCCATCTTTCATCCCTGCTTCTATGTCAACATTGACCAAACAAATGTTATCTACCAGCCCGCCAACACCTCAACATATGAGGTGAAGGGCTCAAAGCAGGTTGCTGTACTTGGGCAAGATGAGAAGTGAGCATTTACTACCCTCGTTGGAATATCTGCAGCTGGCGATGCTTTGCTTTTCTAAATTATATATTGTGGGAAGACAAAGTGCTTGCTCCCAGCAACTACATCAGCACAGCACAAGGAGGCTCAGGAACTTGGATTCAAATTTTGTTTCTCCAACACCGACACATATTGGTCCACTTTCGACTTGATGTGTAGCTATGTCTCGGACATCTTGGTGCCGTACTGGACACACCAAAAGGAGCTTGTAGGAGCACCTCCAGATCAAGAATGTCTTCTGCAGCTCGATGTTTGGTCGGTTCACAAGTCCATCGCTTTTCGGACTTGGTTGAATGACACATACCTGTGGATCAAGTATCGATTCGTCCCTGGAAACTGCACAGGCATCGCACAACCATGTGACATTGGCGTTCAACGTCCCTTCAAGCTGGCGGTGAAGTGCTCCCAACATGCCGAATATTGTAAACAAAGCATTAACTTTATTGTGAAGGAACCAAGACAATCCATCTGCATTACGGTTCGATATGACGTTGCTCACCCTGCATGATTGTTCAGTGCAGTGGCTACTTAATGGATACCACACCATCAATAAACCTGAAATTATTAAGCAGGTTTGTTTCTACCTTTAACTAAATATCACAATGTCCTAATGGCTGCATATTCTAGGCTTTTGCATCCTGCCGTGCAGGTCCATTGTTCAACCTCTCATTTGACAGCCTTACAAATCGCGAGGCCTTGCAATGACTTCGGGACATGCAGAAGAATGAGCCAGACCTCTGGACAAAGATTTCGACTCGCCAATATAAACTTGCCAAGCAAGACGACATCATGAACACAGATCAAGAACCAGCATTCACAGACGATGCCGACACCTCAGACAGAAGTGATGTGGCGGTCGAGGCCATCTTACAACATATTGTGGACGGTGGCCAGAACCCACCAGCTGGTTACAGTGTTGATCCGAACGGCTTACTTATCCCACACAACGAGTTGGAGGTGTATGAGTCAGAGGTTGCAGGAAATGCTCATGTTGCTGAGGCTTCTAACACAGGTGAGGGAGAGGAAAGCAAGGAGATGCTTTGTTTCAGGAGAAGACAGCGCAAATGCATAGCCAACACCCTATATAATGATTTTTGGTCGCACAACTGACTTGTCCATAGCGATTTTTGTTTTTTTTTGTTAGCAATTTTACCTGTTTTACCGCATGTCACAAAATAGCTTCGCTCCCCGAAATTTAGTGTGACCATCACATCAAATAGGTTCGATTCATTGTGGGGTGGGACACGTGACAAAGTTATGGTTGTAACTCTACAGTATGGCATGTTCACGTGTGATAGATGTGTTCACAGGGCGAAGTAGTAAGTAGTGGACCTGAGGCCTGAGCGCGAGCTTTGCCTATGTCACTGGCTAAAAAATTAGTACAGTAGACTTGCTCATAATGCATATGGTCAGGACCACCAAAAGTTCATGCATTATGAGAAATATGCAACACCATGTATGTCACATTTTCGTGACACAATATGACCTCCACCAAAAGTGTGACATCAAATTACCTAGAGCTAAGAGTATCTGCTAATTATATGGTGAAAATTTGTTCTAGAGAGGTCTGTCTAGCATTAAGTATTTCTTCTCGTTATAGTTGAGCATGAAATTTACAAAGTTGTGATGATAAGTTGAGTGAAAACTGTGGATCACCATATTGCATGCATCCAACTTTGAGTTACCAGCACAAATAGAGAAGATTTGTCTGTGTAATTGATGTGGCCACTGAATCATTGTCGTCATTGTCAGAATCAATCTCAATGATTTCACCACTTGCAACAGCAATTTCATGACGAACCTCATCTGCAATGGCTTTGTCACCACCTTCAAGTTCGAATGCAGGGTATTCATCAGGGAAAACCTCCCGTGCCAACTTAGATGTAAATAGACAAAATACATCTAAGTCAGATAGACTATCACAAATTAGAGCTAGATATACATAAACTCGATATTGTTCTTAACATCCATGTAATTATCGCGAAGTTATCGAAGGGTCACAAAACTATGCCAATCTATGTAACAAAAGGAAGAAGTTGCAGAGATGTTTGTAATGAAAGGAGCTGAGGGACAAAGTGCAACGGGTTTTCAGGAAAGCCGGGAGTAAAGGATGCTATCTCACTGGTCGAGTGTACAATTAACGAGCCTGGCAATCACAAATCCTGTGACTGTGACTTGCGAGCATCCGACGAACAATGTCGTAAAGAAAAAATAAAACAAAAGTATCAGCAAAAAAGGAAAAAAAAGACAAAAGAAAAAGAAAGAACGACAAGAAGAGATAAAGAAAGAAGTGGAAGAGAAAAAAAGAAAAGGTTCACTTCTATGGGTTCAGGAGCATTTAGGAGATGAGGATGAGAAGGCGCTTAGAGTGTTGCAACGGTGGACCAACCATCAATGATCGTCAGAGATACATTGGGAGTTGCTTCATCAACTTTGAATGACAGACCCAAATACTCAAAAAGATATTTTGAGGGAATTGAAACATCCTTGAACCTGGATTTGTCGAATCAATCAAAATTCCGTCATCACTCCAATAACTGTCAGCACACTGGACGACAGACAAACCTTTGATCTTCCAGCTCTACTCGATAGTGGAGCAACAGGGTGTTACATTGATGAGGGATTTGTTCGAGCAAAAGGGATTAATCTTGAGTCCCTCCCTTGTCCCATACCTGTATACAATGCTGATGGTGTTACAACTTGGATAGTATCTGTTGGCAACACTCAAACAGGGCGTGTGTTGTCAATGGTCAAGGATGTCCTTGGGTTAGCCCAAGGTTAGGGGTCTTACTTGGCGAAGCTTCGGCAAGTAAGATTTAACGCCTATGTCCAAATCGGGTAGCTTATGTCAAGCGGGGCTCGACAATAAGTGTATCTGCCAAGGTTTATGACACCCGAAGAAGATAGAAAAGGTTGTGAAAGAAGCACTTCGGAATGGTGAAAGGGATTGGAAGGAAGAAGAAGGATTGAAACTATGGAAGAATCGTGTGTACATACCAAATGATCGATGCCTTCGAGATCGTATCATCCATGATCACCATGATCTTCCGGTATCAGGTCACCCAGGACGTCTCAAGACGACAGAACTCATTCTACAAACATACTGGTGGCCGCGTGTTCATATGGATGTAACTCGATATGTGAATAGCTGTGAAAAGTGTCAGTGTACTAAAACCTTTCCTGCCAAACCTTTCAGACTTTTGGCACCTAATCCTATCCCAGAATGTAATTGGCAGTTTGTATCGGTGGACCTCATCACCAGTTGCCTCGGAGTCAAGGGAATGATGCAATTCTTGTCGTAGTAGATCAGTTATCTAAGATGGTACATCTCGCACCAACAAATGGAGAACTCACATCCAAAGGATTAGCACAACTTTATCGAGACCGAGTATGGCAAGATTTTGGTGTTCCAGAGCGAGTCATTAGTGATTGAGGCTCACAATTCTCTTCCAATTTCATGCAGGACCTTAATCAACTACTCGGAATTCGAAGCAATCTGTCGACCACTTATCACCCACAAACTGATGGTCAGACCGAGCGGATCAACCAAGAGATTGAACAGTACCTTCATCTCTTCACCAATTATCAGCAGGATGACTGGGCAGAATGGTTACCCCTCGCTCAATTCAATTATAACGATAAAGTACAAACCTTTACCAGATATTCCCCATTCTTCCTTAATTACGGACATCATCCTCGCAAGGGTATTGAACCCCAAACGAGCGTCAAAAACGAAAGCACAAACACCTTTGCTTCATGAATGAATATTCTTGCCCAAGAGGCTACTTTAGCCCTTGCTCGTGCTGCTGAGGATATGAAGCGATACTATGATGAACATCATCAAGAAGCCCCATATTATCAACCTGGAGATTTGGTATACTGAAGAAACTTGATGACCGTCGATTTGGACCTTTCAAAGTTCTTCAAAAGGTTGGGGAACACGCTTATAAGTCACACTTACCTCGTACATGGAAACAAATTCATCCAACCTTTCATACTACCCTCCTCCACCCATATACACCACCAACCTCTCCATTACAACAACAGCCACCACCACCACTGCCTGTAGACCTCGGAGGGACACCAGAATACGAGATAGAAGAAGTTTTGGATTCTCACGAAAGAAGGGGAAGACGAGAATATCTAGTAAAGTGGAAGGGTCAACCAAGAGAAGAGAGTACCTGGGAACCGGAGCAGCATTTGAAGAACTGAATTTGGAATGAATGAAGCTTTTCAAACCTTTTTGGACCGTCAAAAGACTCGCCAACCACTCATGATCCATATCCCATGCTGGGAAGACTGGATCTATTCAATTCCTCATATTCAGGGAGTTTATGATTGGAGATTGCAGAAGTTTCGAAGAATTGTTGATGAGGACATCGACCTGAGGAAGGGGTAATGTGATGAACTTAGCGGTCCGAGCGTTTCCGAGACTAGCGGACCTTCAACATAGTATTTTGTCACGCCTTACCTGTGGCGTTATTCCTTGCTTTTGATCTCATCTATTCTACCGCTGCAACCTTGTAATAAATCATATTCGGCCTTCTCTCTTCAGAGTATCGTCAGTGATTCTGACAACGTGTTTAGGGTGTTGTTGACACCCACCAAATGAAAGATTTATATCCATAGTACAGTTTTAGTAGGCTACAATGAAATATGCCCAATGCACAACAATATCAATATGCTGTGGCACTGGGATTCTGGGTCTCAAAATCTGTTATCAAAGTACTGATGCTCCATAACGGATTTGATTTCTCACTGGCATTGCATTAGCATATATCTAAGGAGCGCTCCAGACTCGACTAACTGCAGCTACCGAGGACCATATATTCAGCCATATGGTTTATCTTATTATTTAGTTTAGAACAAAAACAATTGCGTGACATCAAACAACGTTGACAATGTTGACAGGCTGTGTACATTACTTCAATGATGGAAGTGATCACAGAGGATGATCAGGCCTACTACAGTAGACTTGCTCATAATGCATATTGTGATAATGTATAAATCTCATAATGCATGGACTTTTCAGGATCCCATCGATGTTCCGTATGTAATTGTATGTATATTGCATATTGCATAATGCATAGCCTTTGTATGACTTGTATGCATTATGAAGTACAAAATTGATAGGGTGGGACATAATGTAACATATAAAGGTATTGTTCTGCTTGTGTGGCATTGTTCCTTTGAACTATGTATAGAAGCCAGTGAGCAATTGCAACAGTATCATACACAAAAATGTCCCTAAACTCAAAGTGTAAACCCCATGATAAGCCCACAGCATATCCCACACATCCACAGCAAGTTGCAGCTGACCAACTTTCATCCATTGAAGTTGACCTTATGCAATCAGTTAATGATCTCAAGGCATGCAATCACATTTTCGGTCAATTGCCAACCCTTGAGGAACTTTTTGACCCTACTGAGGAGAGAGAAGTGGGAGAACATCAGGGAAAACCTCCCGTGCTAACTTAGATCTAACTGGACAAAATTACCCATAATTGTGTACTTCAGCGGTTTATGAGAATTCTTTTACTGCCTTCTAACTTTCTCGTAGTTATCACAAGGTTTTCGCAAATTAGTACTAATGTTCTGGTCCCTTATGTGAGTTAGTTCACCCTTAGTTCAAGCTTGTATACACAAAAACAATTAAATTTGATTAAAAAGAGTGTAGATGATGTGGATTTTTTAGCTTTATGAGATACGAAAAGCGTGAATTATATACTGTATTGGACAGCTTCAAGATCAGCGACATAAACCACCATCAAACACCTACTCATCCATCCCATCAAGATCAAGGAACGCAAGTGCATCAGTTTTCGAATCTGTACCAGCCTTCTTGGTATGCGTGAGACCACTGCCAGCGAAAGACTTGGGGTGAGTTTAAACTGTCAAAGAAAGAAATCAGACATACTCTATTGCAGCGAAAATGTCCGCCATGAGTTTGTGGAATTTCTGTGGTGCGTTCTTCTTCAGATCCTTGAGAAATTGCACATGGAACATGTAGACTTCGCTAAACTGATTCCCTGTGAAGTTAAATTTAGGCGGAGAGCCCTGGGCCTTCCAAAAGAGTGCCGCATACACCTACATAGATGGTTGCAGTCAAGATTTGAAATATAACAGTATTGGATATCAGAACACATTACCGAAGTGCTGGTCAAAGCGACCATAGGGATCGAGACCTCAGGCCATTCGGCTTTGTTCTTTGCGATTTCAGTAAATTTGTGTGCAAATACGACACCAACTGACTTCGGTCCATTGAAATAGCAACCCTTCATAAGGTGCACCATGATATCACCCTGGTAAGGTTTGTTTCACACCGGTTTCGGGACATCATTGTCCTGTAATGTATAAGTTAGTGTAATACACAGCCAAGGCTTCAAAACATACGCCGAACTGCATGGAATAGTGGTAACTGTGGTTATCCATGAAAAGTTTAGCAGAGGCAGCACTATCAGATCCTAAACAAAGGTAGGCAGTAACTTGGTTGCAAGTGTCGTCCTTGAGATCACCACGAAACAATGGTACACGAGCTTCGACCTGCAAATGCATTATTAGGTGAGGGTATAGTCATTTAAGCGATGTCAACTCCCCAAGCTTGCAAGAGCTGATGTGTATGCATCATTCTTCTTGATCTCCATCTCAATAGACATAGCACTGCGATCACGAGCTGACTTCAGGAGCGCATCATGTGAAAAGGTAGTTTTTTCTATCAATTCTGGGTAGCCATTGACAAACATCATGTATGCCTTTGCCTCGAGAATGCCACCTTGAATCACTTTTCGAGTTGCGATATCCTGGTCGGTCATCTTCACCTTCCTGTTATCGGTTAGGACTAGCTTTGCATGTGAAGATCCGGAGTGGCACGAAGACGATTCACTACCCATGCGCTCGGCATCAGACAAATCTTGCTCTGACTTCACCTTTATGATGTCAACTTGCAAAAGGAGTGAAGTCGATGTACTCACAAAGGTACTAGTATCTAAGTCAGACTTGGGTGCCGATTCATCATGAGACTTTTCTGATTCACTGGTGTCATCCGCCCACATAGGTGTCTGAAAATCCAGGAAATTAGAGCAAATCCTCGACACAGGATGTTTTTACCTCTGAGACTCGTTTGCGAGCGCGCGCGGACTGCTTGTTCACCTAGTAAGAAATTTTATTCATTGATTAGCTCAAATTTAATATCAGCTTGCACACTTACAGTTACTACTGCTTGGTTCTTTGCCTTGGTGCTTGAGACGAAACCCAGAATCTGTCACATGATGGTATGTGTGACTCAGATTTAGATATGACTAAGCTGACGAACCTCTGTTGATAGCGCTTTCGCAATAGATTTTGGGTCTTCCAAGTCGCTCGAACTCAAATCGGCCCCATCAAAATTGGTCCGGTCGCTGTTGTCATCTGCTTCACTCTCACTCTGTTCTGATCAACCTTCCTTGATAGACTCAGTGAGTTGATGAGTGGTGCAGGTGTGGCGGTGTAACGATGGCTGTGGTGCTGGGCTTGAAACCAAGCAATCCAATACCTATGTGTTACGACTGGGATAGTTCTGCTGTTGCCAGTCAAGATAGACCTGTCGGGCGAATAGTTCGTCGGCCTTCCTAATACAAGGAAGGTTTCTGGTGGTTCCTACTGCACAAGCCGCGGCTTCTATGCAGGATCAGCGGTGAGTGGTTTTAGCACTTCTGCCTAGGCGGTGAGTGGTTTTAGCACTTCTACCGCAATCAAGGGTTTCAGGCTAAGACAGTGAGTGACTGTCTTAGAATCAGAGTTCAGGCTACTAAGGGTGGAGACCTTAGTAGATCAGGTTTCAAGGGGAAAACCCAGTAGATTAAGTTAAGGAATACATCTATGGTACATGGGGTTTATATAGGTAAAATGGAGCGGAGTTGCCGCGACAAGAAAGGTAACAGAGATAGGAAAAGAGTACAACCTATCAAGATAGCAAAGATAGGTGAAACCGCCATGCGGCGCAAGATAGTATCTATGTTACAATCAAGATAGAAGAGAAGTGTGGACAGCCCCCTTGATAAGAGAATAGCCGAGTCTAGATGAGTCTAGAGTCGGCGGCATGGTTACAAGAAAGAAAAATGAAATAGGAGTAAATGTTATTGTAACACTATGTTCATACCATTCCCTGACCTCCCTTGACCTTCTGAAGGCCACGTGCACTTGTCCGAACCTTCTGCAGGCAGTTCTCGTGTTCTGAGACCCATCTGAACCTCGCAAGTTACCATACCATGTCCTATCCTCGTCCTTTTGACTTCGCTGGTGCGTTTTACTTTATTCTAACTATATGTTGACTACGTCTTAGTGCTACATGGTGTTACAATAACATTTACTCCTATTCTATTTTTTCCTTCTTGTAACCATGCCGCCGACTCTAGACTCATCTAGACTCGGCTATTCTCTTATCAAGTGGGCTGTCCGCACTTCTCTTCTTCTTGATTGTAACTTAGATACTATCTTGAGCTGCATGGCGGTTTCACCTATCTTTGCTATCTTGATAGGTTGTACTCTTTTTCCTATCTTTGTTACCATTCTTGTCGCGGCTGCACCGCTCCCTTTTACCTATATAAACTCCATGTACCATAGTTGTATTCCTTAACTTAATCTACTGGGTTTTCCCCTTGAAACCTGATCTACAAGGTCTCCACCCTTGTAGCCTGATACCTGATTCTAAGACAGTCACTCACTGTCTTAGCCTGAACTCTTGATTGCGGTAGAAGTGCTAAAAACACTCACTGCCTAGGCAGAAGTGCTAAAACCACTCGCCGCTGATCCTGCATAGAAGCCGCGGCTCATGCAGCGTGAACCCTTGAACCAGCAACCTTCCTTGTACTAGGAAGGTCGACGAACTGTCGACTGAACGGTCTATCTTTGACCTTCGACAGCAGAACTATCCCAGTCATAACACATGGATAACAATCCCATTGGCATCCTGTCGGGAGCCTCGGAATACGTATAAGCAGCACACATTGCGGCTTATTACATGTATACTTGTATTCTTGCACGCCTTGCGGCTTATTACATAGGTTCGGACTTGCTTATCTCGCTACTAGTTTTGCCTATGGATTCCGGCCTCTCACGGAAGTAGGATATAATCTCGCTCGCTGGCTACTGATAGGGCACTTCACTTCCCGTACTTCGAGTAGTAATTAGTAGAGTCACCTCCACGCCTAGTTGTAGTATTAGACCTAGTAAAGTGGCAACTACCAGCTTTCTAATTGTCATGATTCACGGCAATTACCAGTTGCACACTTTGACCTAATCTATGGCTCTTGCCACCCTGCCGCCCACTGCTGGTTCATGCCAGTCAAAAATATTATAATGGGTATTAATGGGTATTCACATTGAAAATCATATTTAAATGTAGGTTCGGCATAAAAATTTCATTCATGATGACTAATTAAACAAATATGATATGCCCCTAGATACCTACCCCTCATCATCATCAAAATTAACCTCATCCCTGGCAAAATCTTCAGCCAACTCATCCATAGCGGCTGTGATGTCCGCGGCAGCTCCATTGGTCCAGAGAAAAGTGAAACGAGACAGTAGTGCATGCTGAACTGCAGCCTGCCTGTGAGCATATGCGATGGCGCCAGCCATGATCTGCATGTCCTTGTGTGACAGGTCAGTGATAGATTGCCACTGTTCTGCATGCCATCCGAGAAATTGTTGTGTTCGCCGCATTTCCTCCTTGAGGAGTAACACCTCTTCACTCCATCATTGTGCACGGGCACAAGACTTGGCCCATTCTACATGCAACACTACAGTAAAGGTCAGAATAGAGAGTCGATACATGTATTAATGCACTCACCATCATTCAGACCCGCATCACTTTCGTGATCGCGAACTCCCAAAACAGACCAAATCCACAATGTCGTCTGATACCCCTGCCCTAATCCACGCAATGTGTCTCTCCTTCCGCGCATTCCTGTAGTACTCCTCACACCCGACACTGTGTCGACAGGTGCCACAATGTCCTTTGCCTCTAGGGATTGAAATTCCCTGTCCAACTCGCTGATCCCAACCAGTTTTAGCAATGCTGACCAAGCGAGACAGTATTTTTCTGTGGCAGCATTGATTTTGCTGTTCAACCGAGCGAGAGAGGAATTTGCGCAAGTGTTGGCTTGTTGTCCGCGTAAATTGAGATTGCGGTGCTTGACAAAATGGGATTTAGTATGTAGTTGCCTGTGCAACTTATCGAGTGAATCGCAACACTGTCCCTTGCGCAACTCAGCCTCGATGTGAGCAATATTGTTGGTACATAGTAAGTCTCGATCACTTGGAGGGAGTGTCAACGGCAGCCAGAGTGATTCATCCTCAACTTCCTCAGACGAGTTCATGTCTTGCTCTTCAATCCAGCCTTTGATGCCTACCATATATACCCGCTGTATGATGCGAAAGCGGGCTAGCTGTTGTTGTAGTGTGATCCGACGTTGGTTAAGTTCGGCATGCCCATTCGCACTGAGAGATCTTGTGAGATCATATTTGATTTGTCGCCTGGAAATGATCAGAAGAGTGTCTCAGAATATTGCAGAAGTAGAACTTACTGTGCATCTTCCAGAACCAGGCCCATATTGATGAAAGAACTAGGAGTAACTTCGTGCAGAAGTTGACACCCATTACTGATAGAAATCTTCTCATCGTCCGTAAGATTAGCATGTATTTGTGCTTCTGAAAGGCCTGTTGAACCATAGTCAGCTTCAACAAAAAATTCCAAATAACAGATAGACCTTACTAATTTTGATGTGCATGTATGGATTCGGACTTGATTTGTCGCATTCCCAAGCCTCGATCATCGCAGTCCATTCTCCTTGATGCACATCGTCAATCACTAAATTAAAGTCACGCAAAAACGATTGGTGACGACCCTGTTCCTTGACAGCATTTAGCAGTTTTTTCCGTAGTGAGAGTCCTGTAAATTGAATGAGTCATTGTATTGGTGGGAGCAGACAAAAAAATTGTACCTAGTCCAGCATACTTGCGCCAGTTGTGATGTCCAAAATGGTCATCGAGGACATCATGTCGATAACCAGTGCCCATTTCCTTCGTGCTGTTGGCGACACGATTCATCTCTGCCCAGTTGCATTCAATTCCCTCGCCATCAGTCCGTCCTACGCCTGGCATGAGGTTCAAGGAATGCGGAATCGCACATTTTTCCTTGTGCACAGGGCAGTGAAACTTCAGGATTCCAAACATAAATGCCACGAGGGCAACAGCCGCTGGCATCCGAAGGTGTTCAGGGAGCTCATTCATTCTCTTCATGAGATTGAGCTTCCACTGGCAAGCGATGTCATAAGATATGACAACGGTGAGGAGGAGGAGAGGCATGATGGATGAGAAGAAGATGAAATCCATATTAGCATATCTAAGTTCATCGTTAGACAGTTGAATACACATAATTTAAACAAGGATACCTTTCGCCCTTTTGAAGGTCTCCAACTCCTCGAGGTCGAACAAGTTCATGGTGTGCGCAAAGACATAAGCCAACACCAGTCGATCGCAACCCATTGGAGTGCCTGGATTCAGCGTGTGCCAATGTCTTGAAACCCGAACAAGTACTAATCTAATGGGTAGGTCTCCTGTAAGTTTTGTGCAATGCGAGTGAAAATTTTAAAAAAACCTACATCGGCTTGACTTGCATTCTTGAGTATGTGTTCTGTGTAAAATTTGTCAGGAACAAAGTATGCAAGACCCGTGTGTAGCCCAGGATCAGCAATGCTGGAAGCTCAATTCCTATTCTTGAGGTGGAAGTTGGCATCCATAGTGATAATCAAATAGTAAAGAAATCTATGAGGAAGGGGACATTTAATGAATGCAGTGGATTAAAAAAAAAGCCTACTTCATTGATCCCTCCACTTTGTCCCAGTCCTCCGGCAGGTTTACGCCAGGTTGCGGACAAGCAGGACACTTGATGGCTAATGCACCAGGCTCAGTATCGTAGATACCACCAGTTATATTACCACGGCCAGCTCGCTTCATTAGTTTGATATGGTGAAATTGACGAACTATTCTCATAAATTCTTTATACCGAGACTGTGACTGCAGTCAACATTTGCAAGACATAGACCATGTGATAACATACCTTAGGTACATTCAAACCCGTGTTGTCAGTGAGTCGTTCGAGACTAGTGTAGAACTCGTAGCCAGATAATTTGCTTGACCACGCCAAAATGAGAAAGAACTCCAGAACCCGTCTTGTGCAGGCACTCTGAGGAAAATGTGGCGTGGCCGGATACCATTCGCAACATAACAATTGCTGGCGATGAGAAACTTGTTGATGGCACCCACAGAAATCGATGTTTACTCGGTGGATTGCATTGGTGTGAATCATGACAAAAGAAATATGCCCTCTTTGTGAACGCAAACATGGCATTCCTTCGTGTCCTAGTTGAACCCTAAGGCCCATGTCGGCCAAGGAACTACGCTCAAAATAAGTCCCATTCCATTTCTGCGCATCATCAAAAAACTAGTAATGCAACCAGAACTTCGAAACACTCACATAAATGATATGTAAAGGATGACGTGCATGTTTTAATAAACAACAAGACTTGCACAAAATTTCTGGTCCATAGCAATCTTCACAGCGGTACAGGTGTTCTTGTATAATATTATTATTGATATTGCTGCATGAGCATGGTGTTGTTGTTAAGCTACCACGGCCCTCCAGACGTAGCTCTTCAAGGAGATATTCTTCACGGAATCCGACACGCTCGTTGACGCCCATCCATTCATGCAAAGGTGCATCCTATAAAGAGTTGAGTTTGCGAAGCAAAAGTTTGTTGGAATCTCACCGATTTTGCATAGCGTTTTGCTGGTACCTTGACCACCATGACAGGTTGGGGCTCAATCTCGTCGTCGAATACAAAGTCATCGCCAAGGGTTGGCTCCCAATTGTCCATTTGCAGGGGCTCAAGTTGGTCTTCCAGCCCATCACCCGCCTTGAATTTTGTCGGGGAGCAAGGTATAATGATTTGTCTGCGGCCACTGGCTGACACTGCTATCATCCTGGCATAGGCTGTTGTTGCATGGTCGTCTGAGTCGGATTCATCGCGGTACACCACATATTTTCTTTTCCTTGACATGAGTAAGGCTCGTTTCAGAGAAAATAATACTAGAGCTTACCAGTAGACACTCACTCCCGCGAGCAAGTTCCCTCCTCCCTTGAGTTGTAGCACTTCAAGAAAGAAGCCTGTACAAAAGAGGGTATCTGACGATCAGTTTGGTAGATAGGTAAATATATCAGGACGTACCTGGTCGATTCATTGCCCACTCGGCTCCTCGCATATATGCACCGAAGTCACACTGAACCCTGTTAAAATAGTTTGAAGCCCATAATCAAATAGTTGAACTTGAACCAAACCAAATCAAACCCTCAGACATGTCCACCGCTACTACACCTCCACCCTCACCTGACATGTACACCGCACATATGCCTCCACCCTCACCTGATATGTCTACCACACATACACCTCCACCCTCGCCTGACAGCAATACTCTGCATAACGTTGGGGATGTCTTCCAGAGTGGACACACAGACATTGCACTTCAAAGTATCTGTGGTCCATGTGGTAGTCGAGTAGCTCGAATTTGCATGCCTGCCTGCTGTGGTGAGATTGATCATCATTGACAGAATCCAGCACTCACCCGCTTGTTAGTCAAGCTTGTAGTGATTGCCGTTATAGAGTTATTAGTTAGCGATCCGGCGAAGAATGAAATGTTCCGCACCATGCTCCGTGAAGTCATTGTGGAAGAAGCAGAGCAGGACTACCAGATACGACTTCAAGCATATGAGGCAGCCATGGCCGCAGTTTCGAGTAATGCCGCTCCCGCTGAAGGCACTGACACCACAACGGATATCAATTCCAAGTGATCATGTACGTCCAATCTTCTTAAATATGTTGAAACGATGGTTGAATATTCTGTTCTTCAAGTTCAGTGTTTAGTACTTGAAACGTGGAGTTAGTAGTAGTTACGCTTTGCAGCTTGCCATGTATCTCACATTTACATAATGAATATTGTCTATGTGACATTCTGTCAGTGCTCGTTCAACAGAAATTAAAGATTATAAACCTTCATTGTATGACAATGCTTGGGATTGGTATTGATTTGCAATGAGTTCCAACACGTTGTGAATGTTCAATGCAATGAACAGACTTACTAGGCAGGTACTTGTTGTTTACATAATCTCATATGTTGAAGTGCGGTGAGATGGCATATGACATATGTTTCATGTTGGCTCAATGTTTGTGAAAACAAGCAACATGAATTTTATTTACCTTCTTTATCTGAAACTGGACAGTGCTTCGGATCTGTAAGAGTGTGCGGTTGATTCGAGATTAACTCCAACATCATCATCATGATTGCCGGTGTACGTACTAATAGCAAATCCTCGACAGTGATCTCAGTCTCACTGCATTGAAGTTAGCAGTTGTACCAGCAGCAAACCATTAAGATAACAGAATACAGTGACCTCATATGTAGCTCGTTACTAGTAATTCATTGATGTGCCTATTGTGTTGATGGATGTATCGGATGAGCTGATTAGACTTGCGCGCTGACTCAGACTCCAAGTTTACCATAGTAGTTATGGTCCTACCACCAAATCAGATCACTGAAACTCGGATTGATCTAGCATCCTGCTATCAAATCAAATCATCAAGTTTACAGAATACACAGTCACATAGTATGTAACTCTTTGATTGATTTGCGCATTCACAATTGTGTTGGTGCGCTGAGCTTAGACTTGCCTGGTAAGTTATGGTCCTACCATCGAATCACGATGACTGAAACATAAATGATAAATCTATGTAGCTCAATTAACTTCTTCACCGTGTATTGAACAGCATGGACTTGATACCTTGAAGCGGGCATCTTCGGTGAGTGATATGATTCACTGGCATTATTTCCCTTGATTGACCTTGCATTTACATTCAGTTCACGAATACTACTATCTACATCGCCCCTCGTCGCAGATCATCGATTTATGGTAATAAAATACCTTATATAAAGGTGCTCTTTTCGTTTCATTCCACCCACAATCTTTCCTCATGGTTCGCCCCACTATTCACCACACTGTTGGAGCCAAACAGCAGGCTGCGCGCGAGAAACGCAGGAGACATTATGAAAAGTAAGTTTGATTTTTATTATCGCCTCTCCTCCTGCAACTGAAGTGTTTAGGCACCAAGACATTATTTTATTAAGACGTCGTCTCTGCCACACCAACAGCACACCCTCTGTCACAGCTGAGTCTAACCCAAATGACCTGTCGGATGATGAGGTTGACTTTGAGGCAATGTGCGTTTTCTTTTCAACAGTAATTAAATTGCATCCTTAACGATTGATCGACTATAGCGTTACTTTATCTGACTGTTTGAGGCTCGTATGCGATGCGAAGAATAAAGTCCTGCAAATCGTTCCTTCTGCGGTACCCACAGTATACGTCGAGGATGTCCTTCGAAAATATGCAATGTCGTTGCTCACCAGTGTCGCCGGGGATATTGAGATATTTGGGAATGCAGTCAAGCACGTTGAGCCCTATTTGATCTGGGCACAGCAGGAGCAGGATAAGATTTTTAATATGTGTGGCGTATGTGATGAATGGCGCGCTGCTGACGAGGTTTCTCGCTTCATCGGGCATCTGGTAGCTATGTTAGAGGATCTTTACAGACTAGCTGTTTGGGGTGACCTCGATGAAGCCTACTTACTTGGGGAAACCATGTACCAGAAAGTCTTGGGACTGGAGGCTCCTGGAGTCTAACTCGGACATACTGCTTTTAGAATACATTATACCATTGTTGCCTGTGATCTACTAGCGAGTGCAGGAGAAAGTCAGATTCATTAAGTGCATGTTGCATTGACTTGATGTAAGATACAAAAGTAGTCCAACGTAACATGTATTCAAGTGAGCAAAAAATTTGATGTGTAGCCTAGCGATTCATCAATCTGTGATTTGCTACTATTACTGCCAATTACGCGTCCTCTTCGATGATGTGTTGGCCTGAGTATCAGAATGGCCCCGTTTCTTGTTCCCACCGGAAACCATAGACTTCATCGCAGAACAACTTGCTATGAGTCGGTCCAAAACCCACATGACGTCGTCTGCAGCCTCCTGCCAGCATAAGTCTTTTCCGTCAGTGTTGTCTGCCCACCACTTCAATGTAGCCACAACTGAGAGCATGCCATTTGCACCTGGCTTATTGAGGGAGTCCCAACTGCCGTCATCTGTGCGAGGGAGAATTGCACATGCCGTAAGTGTTGGCGCCTGACAGCTTCTCCACTCCGGTTGAAGCGTGAGCCACCAAGACCACCATTGCATTATAAATGTGGCGAGATTAAGTATGGTTGGTTTCCCTTTATGTCCATGGGAAATCCACCAGTGGACTTCGACCAGACGATGTTCACATCCCAAGGTGGCTTTCTCATTCGTGAAGCTTGATGCATCCTCAAGGCGCACCAGCTTGTCAAACAGCTTTATCAGCTGAGGAGAAGTTGGGGTGGGGTCCATCAACTGCCAGGAGCGGATTGCTGAACCATGGTGGGTTGGATGTCAGTGTAGATAAACTGAGCGATATGTTGCCATCAGGAGAGGCTGTATGTAAATGTGAATGACTTATAGTGCACATGAGAAGCGTCAATTACATACCATCTGTAACCCGATTTAAGTTAACCACATGTTTGTCGAGAGTCATGTTAAGAGGGTTGTCATGATTATCCTCGGCCCCTTCCGTGTCTCGTTTGGCAGAAGGTGTCTCATCCATGTCGTGATTATTGATAGGCTTGGGCGGTTGGTTAGCAGCCATGACAGGGTCGTCTCTGATACGTGGATCAATGAGATTGACGTCGAAAGGTGCAGCAGGCAGCTCAATTATGGTGGCAGATGTGATTCCTAAGGAGATATTAGTGTAGCACAACAGATAGCTGGAAGGACAATTGGTGGTTATCTTACCATTGATAACGGAGCTGTCTTCGTTGAGTTGGTCAATTTCCTCCATGTCATCCGGCACTTCAGACACATGAGGCGACACTTCGGACAAACGATCTGGTACTTTGGACAAATGATCTGGTACTTCAGACAAACGATCTGGTACTTCGGATGCAGGAGATGGCATGTTGACCAGGCGACCCTTCTTCATTGCTTCAAGGTGTTCGAGAGCTATTTTCTGGTGGCGTGAATTAAAGAACGTGACACCAAGGTTTCCCTTGGAAGGTGAAAATGGAAGTACCCATCTGGAACCCTGACGTTCATCTTCGCTATCAGTGGAGCTTGATGAAGTTGAAGACGAGGAAGATGAAGACAAGCCGGAGGATGGGGAAGATGATTCCGAAGATGATTCATCTGCCTCAGAAGCCTCAGAAGGCTCGCGTTGAGAAGCACGTCCCCATTTCGTACCTTGCTGCTTTGATTTCTTCCGGGGTCTATATTTGGCTGTCAATTCATTTGCTTCACATTCTTCTTTGGTGTCAGATTGGTCGCCTTCCAGCAAAATAGCGAACAAGCCATCTAAATCATCCGGGAGGCGACGGGAATCACAGTCCTGCTTGGCTGATCACGGTGTTCATTATAAAGTTATAAAGTAAAGTGATAGAAATTAAGAACGTACTATATGCGTGTGATAGGTATTCTTGAAACAATTTTGTGACCATTTTGAACTTGGTCTTATCTCAAGTTTGCCAATTGCATGGTGTGAAACCTAAGTCAACGCCCTCATGCATACTGTAAGTGTGATGTTAGTGTTGTATCAGAACAACATTGAAAAACACACCTAACAATGGTAATTTTCCCTTGCTTGCGGGGTTCAGGTCCACCAACTAAAAGGGAGACATGCATGCCAAGGATTTCGGCCATACCAGTAAGAACCGGCCCAGCAAATGTTGCGAGGTTATCCAGAGCCCTGAATTAGTTCTTAATACAGATACAAACTGAAAGATTTTGAACGCTTACGCTTGTCTATCGATGGGAGATGTGGAAGGAGGAGCCGCAAGGCGATCATTCCATTCTTTCACTGCTGCTTCCTCTTCGGCTTGCACTGTATCTTTCCAATGCTTCTGTTCTTCTTCGGATAGTTTCTTGAAACATTTGCATGTGATCCTATCACGAAAGGTCACCATCTTCTTGCTAGGTAGGCCAGCCTTACGCCACTTTTTGAGAAAGTGGGACTTGATTTCAGTCTCGAAGTGATCTTTTGACCATCACTGGTGGGCTTGCAAGGCCTTCGGCTTCTTTTTTTGTACTCCAGAGAGCTGGCTGAGAAGTCGAGCCCATTCATTTTTCTCCGGCTTGCCGCGGCGTACAATCAACCTTTTTGAGGACTTAGCACAATATTCTAGCCAGCTCTTGATCGCCTACTTGATTGTTGAGAAATGTATAGATAAAAACATATAAAAACACCTACCTTCTGCATCGCAATAAACTTTGCGATTTTTGTGTCAGTTCAATTGGGGTAAGAAACTCATCCGACTCCATTTGCAAAGGATTGTTTTCCGAAGGCTCGTCTGATATCTTCATTTTCCAATGATAGTGTTTAAAATACTCTTCCACAACCTCGTATACATAGTCGGTTGCTTGTGATTTGCCTTGATTGACGCGTTCGCGGTAAGTGGACAGATGATTGTTGAGAAACGCTAGGCATGAATTTTTGGCCCAGTTACAAAACAGTCTTTCGACGTAGGCGTTGGGATCATTGGTATTGGTTCCAGGAGCTGGGGTGGGGGGAGTCGGATCTGGGTTGGGTAATGGGTTGGGGGACAACGCCACGGGTGTGTCGTCCAGCGCCAGGACTGGTTGTTCTATGGGTAATATAGTGAGTCCCAACTATCAAAAGTAAAAATCAACTCACTCCATCGTCATGGTTGTGCAATGTCGAATACAGTGAAGAACGAAAGGGCTGTGGTCAGCGTCCAGGTTCTAGTACTTACATGTGGCAAACTGATCAGATATGATATATTTGTAATGTGTATTTATTTTTATGTATCTGTATATATAATATATATCTGTATTATATGAATATTCCAGGGGATATTGGGGGTGCAAATTTCAATGGGCGATTGCATGCCTACAAGCAAGGCCTTAGCCAGGAGTGGTACATGCCAGTGTCATAGGTCAAATTGTGCGGCTGGTAATTGCCATCACAAGTGTCTACACCAAAACTGGCAATGGCCATATATATTAGGTCAAATACTACAACTAAGGCTGTGCATCCAGCGTGAACAGTACCCCATCTGACATTCATATTCCATCCATCCAAGGGCACGCCAACCACACATCCACTCACACTCGCACTTGGCTCACAACTTCACCCCACTCAAGTAAGCTAAAAGGTCCGTTTGTTGATTCTTGACTAATTTGTGTACAATAATTATTTACTAGCATCATTCAGCGCAGCACTGCCATGACCACAGCTCAATGTCCTGGATGCCTTTGAAGTGACCTCTCGGTCACTGGATTGAGCCAGCATCTGGCCAAAACGAAGGACGCGCGCTGTAATGCTGTCCTTGCTGCTTCTCGCTCTAACTTGGGTACCTCGAGTTCTCCCCAACATAATGACATGAACATGCAGGACTTTGCAGATGGTCTGTTCCAGTCAGAGGATGGAGAGCTGCTTGTGCCACTTGATGATACTACTAGTGATGAGGAAGATGTCGCCAAAGAGTACGAGTGGGAGCCACCAGTCCAGGAGAATGAAAGTGACATACCAAGTGTAGAACTGGATGATCCTATGGATGATGATAGTAATGGACCTGATTGCGACTCATGCCAGGATGCCGAACGTCAAATCCTTGAACAAGACAAGGTTTATATTGTGCCATATCCTGATTCTCGAGCAGGAAATCCAATCACTCAGTCCGAAGTTCGGGATGTGAACGTCACATACGGTTCTAGTATCAGTGACACGGAAAACCCGTATTCACCATTTTCCTCTCAAATGGACTGGGATATTGCGCAGTGGGCAAAGTTACGTGGCCCAAGCTCAACGGTGTTTTCAGATCTGCTCAGTATTGATGGTGTAAGTGATCATTTCAAAGTGCCGACTGGCTCGGAGTGCCTAATATCTGTTTTCAGGTTAGCAAATGCCTTGGCCTCTCATACAAAAATTCAAGGGAGCTAAATGGCATCATTGATAAACAACTTCCTGGCTGTCTGAAGTTTCAGTGTGAACAGGTCATAGTTGTGGGAGAAGCTTTTGATATTTATTATCGAGATGTCCTTGAATGTATCAAGGCTCTCTTCAGTGACCCGGACTTTGCGGACTATCTCGTATTTGCACCACAGCGCCACTACATGGACGACGATGGAACAGTTTGACTATACAGCGACATGCACACAGGTAGATGGTGGTGGAATACTCAAGTGAGAACTTCGTGCAGTGTTGCTTGTGCATCAACTAACTTTGATATGAAATAGAAAAAGCTTGACGAGCAGTGGCCAGGTGCAACCAACATACCTGTCATCATCTCAACAGACAAGACTCAAGTGACCATGTTCCGGAATAAAACTGCATACCCTGTGTATCTCACCATCAGGAATATTCCAAAAGAAAACTGTCGAAAACCATCTCGACGTGCTCATGTTCTCCTCGCCTATCTTCCCACCACTTGTCTTGAACATATTACCAATAAAGTGTCACATCCTTGAAGTGCAGCAAATCTCTATCACACATGCATGGCACGTGTGTTATTGCCACTAGAAAAAGCTGGCCTTGATGGCTTGGCAATGTGGAGTGGTGATGGTATTTTGCACTGCTGTCATCCACTCTTTGCTTGTTTTGTCGGTGATTACCCCAAGCAAGTACTTGCAACCACGGTCAAAACTACGGAATGCCCTAAATGCAATATCCCACCTGACGAACTGGAGAGTCACACAGCACCCTTTGAATTACGCGACCTTCATGCCGTTCTTGATGCACTCACTACCATTGATGTCAGAGACCTCAAATTCATTCAGGCATGTCATGATGCTGGCATCAAGCCCGTCGTTCACCCATTTTGGGAATGATTACCCTATGCTAACATATTCCAGGCTGTCACACCTGACATTCTCCATCAACTGTACCAAGGTCTCATTAAGCATCTTCTAGGCTGGCTGGTGCAGGCATGCGGACCAAACAAGATCGATGCGAGATGCCAAAGATTACCCCCCAACCACCATATCTGTCTGTTCATGAAGGGCATTACTGGTCTCTCTCATGTTAGTGGTGCCGAGCATGCTCAAATATGTTGTTTCCTCCTTGGTGTCATTATTGATGCTCAACTTCCTGGCAATATGTCTTCGACATGTCTTTTATGAGCAGTCCATGGTCTCCTGGACTTCCTTTATTTAGCGCAGTATCTGTGCCACAGCTCAGAGACACTACCGCTCCTAGATGAAGTGCTCACCTTATTCCACAACCACAAACAAATATTTGTTGACCTTGGTATCAGGAACCATTTCAATCTCCCTAAACTTCATGCCACTCGTCATTATATATCAATGATTTGCTTTTTCGGCATGATGGATAACTACAATACAGAATATACTGAACAACTTCACATCGACTTAGCTAAAGATGCCTACCGTGCAACAAATCGCAAGGATGAGTTCATTAAAATGACACAGTGGCTCGAACGCAAAGAGAAGATTGTGCGCCATGCGAAATTTATTCATTGGCAACTCCACAACAATACTCCACACCATCCTCGTCCTCGACCAGCAAGTCTATCATTTGACCGAACACAAACTTTGGCCAAGCATCCGAGTGCCAAAGCTGTACCCTTTCAAACTTCAATCTCACTTTCTCGCACTCATTTTGAAGCCCTTGCTGCAAATGTTCACCTACCGTTCCACTCTGTTGCAGTATACCACAAGATCAAGTGGTTATCTGTTGATGCTCGAGGTCACGGCGACCCACTCGTTACAGTGGATAGCATCCATGTCATGCCCTGTCACACCGGCACTTGCCGAAAAAATGATGCTCTACCTGCACGTTTTGATACAGCACTCATAAATAATGATACTGGACAGTCTGTGGGTGTTGAAGGTGAGGCTTGATACTCTCGTCTTTTGTTACCTTTGCTTATACAATGACTCATACTTCAGGCTACCAGGTTGGTCAAATTCGGGCAATCTTCTCCATGAGAGAGAAAGATGCGCAGTTCCTATTTCCTCCAACACATCAACCTCCGAAACACCTCACGTACATCGAGTGGTTCAGGCCGTTTTCTTCGACACCAGATCCAAGACATGGCATGTACAAAATCACTTGTTTGGTCCATTCAGGTGAGAAAGTCGCTAGTATAATCCCCGTTTCGAATATTGTCCACAGTATACACCTTATTCCAAAGTTTGGACCAGTTGCACCTTGTCACTGGAGAAGCAACAATGTTCTCGAGGAGTGTGATACATTTTTTGTTAATTGTTACATAGATTGGCATAGTTTTGTGACCCTTTGATAACTTTCGCGATAATTACATGGATGTTAAGAACAATATCGAGTTTATGTATATCTAGCTCTAATTTGTGATAGTCTATCTGACTTAGATGTATTTTGTCTATTTACATCTAAGTTGGCACGGGAGGTTTTCCCTGATGAATACCCTGCATTCGAACTTGAAGGTGGTGACAAAGCCATTGCAGATGAGGTTCGTCATGAAATTGCTGTTGCAAGTGGTGAAATCATTGAGATTGATTCTGACAATGATGACAATGATTCAGTGGCCACATCAATTACACAGACAAATCTTCTCTATTTGTGCCGGTAACTCAAAGTTGGATGCATGCAATATGGTGATCCACAGTTTTCACTCAACTTATCATCACAACTTTGTAAATTTCATGCTCAACTATAACGAGAAGAAATACTTAATGCTAGACAGACCTCTCTAGAACAAATTTTCACCATATAATTAGCAGATACTCTTAGCTCTAGGTAATTTGATGTCACACTTTTGGCGGAGGTCATATTGTGTCACGAAAATGTGACATACATGGTGTTGCATATTTCTCATAATGCATGAACTTTTGGCGGTCCCGACCATATGCATTATGAGCAAGTCTACTGTACTAATTTTTTAGCCAGTGACATAGGCAAAGCTCGCGCTCAGGCCTCAGGTCCACTACTTACTACTTCGCCCTGTGAACACATCTATCACACGTGAACATGCCATACTGTAGAGTTACAACCATAACTTTGTCACGTGTCCCACCCCACAATGAATCGAACCTATTTGATGTGACGGTCACACTAAATTTCGGGGAGCGAAGCTATTTTGTGACATGCGGTAAAACAGGTAAAATTGCTAACAAAAAAAACCAAAAATCGCTATGGACAAGTCAGTTGTGCGACCAAAAATCATTACATAGGGTGTTGGCTATGCATTTGCGCTGTCTTCTCCTGAAACAAAGCATCTCCTTGCTTTCCTCTCCCTCACCTGTGTTAGAAGCCTCAGCAACATGAGCATTTCCTGCAACCTCTGACTCATACACCTCCAACTCGTTGTGTGGGATAAGTAAGCCGTTCGGATCAACACTGTAACCAGCTGGTGGGTTCTGGCCACCGTCCACAATATGTTGTAAGATGGCCTTGACCGCCACATCACTTCTGTCTGAGGTGTCGACATTGTCTGTGAATGCTGGTTCTTGATCTGTGTTCATGATGTCGTCTTGCTTGGCAAGTTTATATTGGCGAGTCAAAATCTTTGTCCAGAGGTCTGGCTCATTCTTCTGCATGTCCCGAAGTCGTTGCAAGGCCTCGCGATTTGTAAGGCTGTCAAACGAGAGGTTGAACAATGGACCTGCATGGCAGGATGCAAAAGCCTAGAATATGCAGCCATTAGGACATTGTGATATTTAGTTAAAGGTAGAAACAAACCTGCTTAATAATTTCAGGTTTATTGATGGTGTGGTATACATTAAGTAGCCACTGCACTGAACAATCATGCAGGGTGAGCAACGTTGTATCGAACCATAATGCAGATGGATTGTCTTGGTTCCTTCGCAATAAAGTTAATGCTTTGTTTACAATATCGGCATGTTGGGAGCGCTTCACCGCCAGCTTGAAGGGACATTGAACGCCAACGTCACATGGTTGTGCGATGCCTGTGCAGTTTCCAGGGACGAATCGATACTTGATCCACGGGTATGTGTCATTCAACCAAGTCCAAAAAGCGATGGACTTGTGAACCGACCAAACATCGAGCTGCAGAAGACATTCTTGATCTGGAGGTGCTCCTACAAGCTCCTTTTGGTGTGTCCAGTACGGCACCAAGATGTCCGAGACATAGCTACACATCAAGTCGAAAGTGGACCAATATGTGTCGGTGTTGGAGAAACAAAATTTGAATCCAAGTTCCTGAGCCTCCTTGTGCTGTGCTGATGTAGTTGCTGGGAGCAAGCACTTTGTCTTCCCACAATATATAATTTAGAAAAGCAAAGCATCGCCAGCTGCAGATATTCCAACGAGGGTAGTAAATGCTCACTTCTCATCTTGCCCAAGTACAGCAACCTGCTTTGAGCCCTTCACCTCATATGTTGAGGTGTTGGCGGGCTGGTAGATAGCATTTGTTTGGTCAATGTTGACATAGAAGCAGGGATGAAAGATGGCACAATCACGAATGGTGAGTGCGAGCTGCAAGAACTGTTCAAGACAGCATTCATCGGCGTTTTCGGGGATTTTTTGTGCTGCACGAGTGGCACAACGAAATGACCAGCGATAGTAAACCATGGGTATCATGGGCATGCCATTATAACGCAGCACGTACGTGCTAGTATCTGTGAGTATCTATTTTCATGTCTGGGTCGTTTCATCTTTACGCCTAACTTAAACCTACCGCTATGACAGCTGTGCAACACCGCTAGAAGCGGTGTCGACGAGATAGATGCGCTTGGTGTGGTTACATCCCCGCTAATAATATCCTGTATAGCAGCCTCCAGTGCATCCACTCTATTCGACATTTGCATCACTGTGGGATGGTTCAATCCGTAGGTTCATTGAAAGGTCACAGGAGGTCACAAACGTACTATGATCAAGAATCTGAGACGACATGGTGTCAAATTGAGTATCTAGTTGCTCAAGTAACGTTTCGACCTGTAAGAATTGTTGGTCGTCACTTGCCAGTCGGGAAGCAGGAATTCGGAAAACGCACGAAAGCTGTTAGCTCATGGGGGCTAGATATTTCACCAGGGTTGGTGGCAATGGCATGCTTTGTGGGAGTCTTTGAGCCTGAAGCAGATGGCTGCGGTGAAGCCCTTGCTGGTGTTGATGCAGGAGTAACTTTTAGTGGGAGAGCGGTTGACGGCATTTGACAATATCTGGTGGTGAATGGCAGCACCCAGAGCGGCGCGGCCTGTCGCGGGGTTGTCAATGTATTATTACGTAACACTCCCAACTTGTCTCATACAAAGTCTCTCCACAACCTATTCAATCTGGCTCGAGCGCAACACTGCCTGACGTTGGTGTTTTTACGGGGCATTTGGTGAATGGATCGATCAGATTACCGGTCACAAAAGTCATCAGTACTATCGCGACTTTCTCGTCAAACAAAATGATTGCCAGAAAAATTGTGCAGATACATGTCACCGCAGATGTCGGACCACTCGATCCGTCTCCACCGGCTCATTTCGACATTAACATGCTAGTCTTCTTTTAAACCGGATGCTAATAAAAGTACGATTTCGGTAGCGCAGTTCATTTTTGCTGATCATGTTTCTGAATCTTCCATGTCTACCACATATTCCGAGTCACGGAGCGACCATACTCCGCCCTAGAGCGACTCGGACGGTCGACTCTTTCTGCAGCCTCTTGCTTGGTACAGCTTACAAGTGCGTCTAACTCGTTCAAGAATTTAGTCGATCTCAACTACCCAATAACTCAGACGCATTGTACGTCGAGACAATAGATCACGATCCAAGATGAGTATACCATACTTGTTCCGGCAATTAATGACATCCTGCCACGTTCGATTGCACGCGGATTTTATCAGCTCCAGAATTAGGTGTTCGGTCCCTCTCGAAAGCTTGGAGTTATAGAGCTTATTAGGTATTGCCATCAGAGGACTGGTGAGCCGCAGATATCCTTATATGCCAATATATGATCATATATATAGAAAATATCTTCGTTATATTGGAATATAAAGTCATGTATAACTCGAAAAACCACTGCAATCAACGTAAAGCACCCTGGGGAGACTCACGAAATCTCTAATGTCCGCTGACCAGACCATCGATGCACTAGTTCTCATTCGGATTATAGTAAACCATGGGTATCACGGGCATGCCATTATAACGCAGCACGTACGTGCTAGTATCTGTGAGTATCTATTTTCATGTCTGGGTCGTTTCATCTTTACGCCTAACTTAAACCTACCGCTATGACAGCTGTGCAACACCGCGTTTTCTTGAATGGCCCGAACCGTGATAAAACTTCCATCACTATAAATACTCGACAGGTTTCCGAGAAATCTGTCTATTCACTTGTGTCTCTCCTCGCATTCGACTACGATGAGTTCTATAATCCCCACGGCAGCATATACTAGCACCCTTTCTGACAAAGAGACTGCAAGGTTCATTTTACCTGACCTTGTCAGCGATTGCCACTATCCCCTGCGACTGAATCCCGATTGTTACCCGGTGTCTCGCGCTTCTGAGCAATGGCTTCTTCACGGAGCACATCTTGCAGAACCCAGAGTGACAAAATTCATGGGATTGCACGCAGGTGAACTCACTGCAGCTTGTTATCCCGATAGCGACGCTTTTCATCTCCGAGTCTGCTCGGATTTCATGAACTGGTTGTTTAATTTGGATGACTGGCTGGATGAGTTTGATACCGACGATACGTGGGGAATGCGCGAATGTTGCATTTCTGCGTTTCGCGATCCGATCAACTTCCAGACGGAAAAACTCGCTGGAAAGATGTGTAAATCGTACGTCGGTTTGCTCTATTACGAATGTTTACTGTATATTAAGTTTATACACTAGGTACTTCAGCCGCTTTGTGCAAACAGGGGGGTTCGGCTGCACTGAGCGATTTATCCACACAATGGACTTGTTCTTCATAGCTGTGGCACAGCAGGCGGATGACCGTGCCAAGGGACGTATCCCTGATCTTGAATCTTATATCACCACGAGGCGGGACACAAGTGGCTGCAAGCCTTGCTTTGCCCTCATCGAATATGCAGCTCTAATTGATCTCCCCGACAAAGTAATGTCGCATCCAGTCATCATGGCCATGGAGGAAGCAACCAACGACCTTGTCACTTGGTCCAACGTAAAGCCCCATTATATTGTTAAACGCTGAAGTACTGCTGACATCATTGCTAACAGGATCTCTTCTCTTATAACAAGGAGCAATCTGTCCATGACACGCATAACATGATTGTCATACTCATGTGCGAACAAGATCTGAACCTGCAAGGCGCTGTTGACTACGTTGGCCGGTTGTGCAAGGATTCCATCCAGCGCTTTGAAGACAGCCGTGATATCCTCCCCTCGTGGGGAGAAGAGCTAGACAGGCAAGTAGCTATTTATATCGAAGGGCTACAGAACTGGATTGTTGGTTCATTGCACTGGTCCTTCGATTCCACCCGTTATTTCGGGAACAATGGGCATATTGTCAAACAAAACCGAATCGTCGAGTTGCTTCCAAAAAGGCCCTTGTAGAGTTGACTCCTATTGCGTTGGTTTGTCTGATAGAGATAGATTTGACTTCTTTCGCTGCACATTTTCAACTGCGGTTGATAGTAGAGTGCTAAATGATTTACTTCGGATTTATAACATTCTTGACATCCTGCCTGCCTACTAAGTACCTTGCCTTGCCCAAAGTGTCTTCGACCTTCGTAGTTCTATGGGATTTCTGATTTTCATGCAGCGCCTTACAGTCTTATATGTTTTATGTACCCTTGTGCGGCTTTGTACTGTTACTCGTGTGTAACCTAGTCTGATATCCTTGTGCAAATACTGGAAGTTATGTATTGTCGGTAATACTGGTACCACTACTCCTCTTCTACATCCACTACGTCTACTAGTCGGGTCTCAAGATATCAGGGCTCGCCGCAGTGATCAATCACATGTTGCTTCGCCCTTCTCTGCTCGGTGCCTCCGACACCATCAACGTTCTCAGGGGTCACTTCATCTAAATTAGTCTAAGGCACCATCAATAACACAACACCTCGCAAAGTCAAACTCTAATGACGCACCCTCCCACGATCAGCACCTGCTTCGATTAACATTACTGCAGCCTGGGCATGAGCCGACTCCATAGCGAGATGAAGGGGTGTGTTGCCTGAAAATAGCGTCTTGATCTAATCTACTCAACAAACGTGACGATACACCCACCTATCCGATCGCCCGTGTTCAGCCGTAGTTTGGCAGTTGTCGAGCCTTCGGGAGGATTGAGCAGGAGTGCAACGAATCCCGTGGACCCTGTCGTTGCCGCTCGATGCCTAATAGTTCGAGTGAACAAGTTGATGACGTGCAAACGTTGAAGATCTCTCACAAGGGCGTTTGGTTCGCCTTATCTTTGGCGTTTATCTGTTTGTCACTCGATTGATAGCTGCAAAGTACTCTTGCGAAATTCACGTACATCTGCTCCCCTTTCGATCAGAAACCTTCCAATCTGTCGATGTAGACGCCATTAGCATCTGCACGTTCATTATACCACGCCCACGCACGTCAATGCGGGACTTTGATGCCGCGTAGTGTCTGAGTAGTGCATATCAGACTAGAGATGATCTGCAGCGAGAACATTACTAACAGAGGAGTAATTCCCTTGTCATTCTTTCTGTTTACGTCAGCCCCAGCGCCCACTAGCTCTCGAACGACATCTTCATGACCTGCGCTTACTGTTCTCGAAGAGTAAGAATTCGTGTGATGTCTCACATATCAGAGAATCATACCGGCTATGTGCAAAGCTGTCCATCCGCTCTCATCTACGTTGTCTATTGCATCTGAGTTCTTCGCAATGAGATAGGACGCGATTTCGGTTGAGCCGCTCGACGCGGCCCAATGGAGTGGTGTCCTACCATCCTGGGGCACATGTATCAGGCATTCCAGATCGCCAGAACAAAACTTGTTAAGGCTTACTCACGTCATCGACAGTATCCACAAGCTTCGGGTTCTCTTCTGTCAATGCACGAACAAGGGCAGGTTGATCTAGAAGATGGGGAAAGTCAGTCCATCAAACGGGAGTAAGGAGACACCACGGAAGCGCACTTTTTTGGGCAGCAGCATGGATGGATAAAGACATCTTGATCGCTCAGGTGGTGGTGAAACGAACCAAAGTCACAATGATTACGCGGCTCCCTGAGCTAACTCCTAACCCTATGTTATGGTCACGAGGATATATCTGGCACATCTTTGTGTTCAAGTCGAATATTCCTTTCTGTATGTACGTACCGTCCAACCGGGTACATGTGTAAGTACAGATATTGAGCATCCCATATATTTTACTAGTTACGTAGGCAACGTACTCTGTCACTATGTCTCTTGCCGCTCATACATAATCAACCCAACAAACTGCCCCAAGGCTCCACAGAGAACTCAAGTACATATCAATGCGCATTGCGCAAAGCTAACGACTTCATGTGTACAGTGTATACCTGTCTTCGTCGGTGACATTGACGGCTCCTCCCGTGTTTGGAAGCGATGTTTTTTTGCAGATCGAGAATGCCTTGACCTGTTTAAAACGTTTAGAAGTTGGCGAATGCATGATTAGATCAGTAATACGACGCGAAGTCGATGTCATTGGCGGAAACGCCGGAGATTGTCAGCATCGAGATGAGCGTCCGGTGGTCATGAACGAGCTAGACTTAATGCGTCACAAGTGCAAAAAATTAGACAGGTGCTTTTGCATCGTCTAGAATGTCCACTTTGCAGCCCGTCCGCATTGATTTCTAATGCTAACAAGGACAACGGCGCATTAACGTGAAGACCCGTATCATTGCGTTGACGGATGGATTCCCACTTTTCCGTTGAAAAAATGGCAAACGAGATTCTCAAGACCAAGTGAAAGAAAGCTTTCGGGAGTTGCCCTGGCAGCTGGTTTCACGGACGACAAATGTGGAGTTTCAATTTCAATTGTGGCAAATCGACATGGGCGTAATGAGGACTACCACTTTACCAGTAAATCTTCTAGAGGACCATCGACCCTTTGGCACACGTTACAACTCTGCAAGCGATTAAATTTTGAACCACGAGTGGTACCCGCTAAGCCGCCGGATACTAGCCCCTCCATTTCCAAGGCTCAATTGAGTTGATTGGATTTCAATGGTAAGAACGACTTACGACCACTACTGTTGCCGGAAGTCCTTGCTGATCATGCCTCATGGTGCTAGCGTCATTAACGCGACTGCACGAGAGTGCTCCGATTCGCGTCCTTTGTGGTTTTTGAATGATCATGATCAATCACTTTCTCCGAAGTCCGTAGTATCCTGGTGCAATTAACAATAAAGAAAATGAATGGCGCTCGAAAATCAATGGTTTGACATACGACAAGGTAGGTTCCAAAGCAGCTTCTGGACATTCCTGACATTGTAGGGATGATGAGTTACTTCTCTAACAAAGGCTCGATTGTTTGTCGCAAGGTGAAGTTTTGAAGCTTGAAGCTTGAAGGATTAATCATGTTCTGAAACAAGACTCGGAACAGGCAATCATTAATCAGCAAGGCCCACTCACAAAGTAACTGTTACTTACTCCATCATCGACTACGAGACGGTGAGGTACTGCTTGTATCACAGAGAGCGTTTCGCTAATGCAGTGAATGACAGTATGATTGTAGTGCAGCTTTGCCAGCTGGTGGTGTGGAGTCTATGGTGACTATGCTGGTTTGTCTTTCTTTGTGATAATATCCGAGCTGAACGTTCTAGGCCATTCAGAATCCCGTTGATACTTTTTCAATCGTCCCGATGGTCAAGCAGGGATTTCAAAACGAGTATACCTCACGAACAGAAAATGCCGTCATAAATTGTGAGAGCTGTTATTATTAGCATTTTACACATCGATTTTACCACGCCTTGCATATGATAGGACCACCTTTCATTCGACTCTTGCACTTCATTTCAAGTTGGTGTCCTTTGGCTCTCGGATGCGTTTTTTCTCCGCAGCTGGCCCTTGGCCGAGTGACCAGGTGGAAATCGTCATAGAAGCTACTTGCCTAATTCCGACAATATTGGCAAGTTTGGCCATCTCGACTGAGTCACTCAGTCATTAGTACATTTGGCAGCAGAAATTCGACGATCTTGATATTCTGCACGTGTATTCATCATGGGATACATGGACGGCGCGCTCTGTTGAAGGCCAAGGCCACTGGCAACTGACTCATATTCGATGGTCATGGTTTTGTTTACCAACCAACGAAAATTTCACCGGCCAGGCCCTGGCACCTCGCCAGCCCACGAGGCCGGAATCCCTACCAACTGGTACTTGGACAACTGGGACGATGGCACTCCTGGCAGGTTCGTTTAGAACATTTATATACTGCAATATGCTTCACAATTATCCATCGCTCCCTCAGATACTCTAGTCCTCGAGTAGAACTACTACAATCATCGCTTATTGCTATCATCGTGATGTCCTTTTATTCCTACTCGAGCAACGGAGTATCTGACTCCTCTAGGTCAACATCTGTGAGTTGTAAATCTTACACGACATCATTGCGATTAAATCGACGCTTGCAGGGACATTATATCGAAGAGATGTTTCAGTGTTATTGGGATTGTTCACAGGGATTACATTGCAACGATTTGATTCGCGGTTACAATCTCTCCGCTCACCTACGTGAGGCTCATGGGATTCACGGGCCAGACAAATCTCCCGTTACCTGCCGATGGCAATCTTGTAATAGGGGTCTCAATAAGGAGAGTCTTGCGAGGCACGTCGAGGAAGTCCACATGGGGATTGTATACAGGTGCCAGTGCGGAGATACATTCTCGCGCAAAGATACTCTCAACAAACACAAGACAAAATATCAGCATTAAATAGGGAGTCTTTTGACAAGGATCCCGTACTATCTTTCTTCTATGCCATGACTCCAGTTAGAGTGTCTGTTGTCTAAGGTGCTTATTATCTGACGTACTTACTATCTGCGCTATTTACCCTGGTGGTATTGTATTGTAGTTCAAGTACGAAACCCCGTTTTGAATATCAAATTGGTAGCAGGTTATCAATTTTGCAAGCTATGATGCCCGCCCTTGAATTTGGTGGATGACTTCTCTTACAATATGCGCTATCTTGTCCAGCAATGTCGAACGCCCCCATGTATCACGACATGATTGTCATTCTAGGTAGCAACAACATTAAAACAAACTTGAACGTCACGACTCATCAATCCTTTCAAGCGACCCCATAACTGATGGCTATGTACAGAAATCAAGCGGAAGAGGGTGTAGTTCGATCATTAGAGTACTAGAGCCATTCCATTAAGGCTTTGGTGATGCCTCAGTTTCTAAGTTGTGTTAATGCTTTGATGTTGTCGCATCTATTAAGTTAGCAGGTTTCACTTTTTTCAGTGTCACGAATTTTTGTTACCATTTCCGCGCGATTGGAACCTAGGGAAACGAGAAGGCTTTATGGGGTGGGGTCTAGCATGATTTGTCGTGCATAAATTGCTGCCTTAGCTAAAGCTTGATCTGCCGGTCCTGAGGTAAACCTTGGTGCTCTGGCAGCTGCTTCGCTGTATGTGGTTAGGTCGTGTTTGAGGTGCTTCAGTTAGCTTCTTAATGACGTCATCGAGTTTAGTTTGTGCAGGGAGTATGGATAGGTGTCAACAGTCCAATGACATTGTTGGCTTCACGGATGCTACTAGCGACAGCATCTGCCCGTTCTCAGCCCGTGCTTTGGGAGAAATAGTTTGTTTTATTTCTAGGCCAAAAGAATAGCAGCGGCGCGAAGTATATCGACACATAAACGAGTGAGTCCTGTGTTTGAATAGAGAATCTTTTGAAGTCTAAGAGGGCTGTTGTTAATGTATTTCGGACGCGGGAGTGATGAAAAGACGCTTCCCGGGTTCGGCTCTCGCCGACTCGGAGTTTTCGTCCGTGACGCGTGACTTGCGACTGTGTCACAATCCGGGTGCCACTTACTAGTATGTGACTCCTAGAAGCGCTTGTCATCTTACTCGTTCCCTCAGATACTCTACTCCTCGAGTAGAACTACTACAATCATCGCTTATTGCTATCATCGCAATGTCCTTTCAGTACTACTCGAGCAACGGAGTATCTGACTCCTCTATGTCGACGTTTGTGAGTTGTAAATCTTACACGACATCATTGTGATTAAATCGACACTTGCAGGGACATTCTATCGATAGCATGTTTCAGTGTTTGTGGGATTGTTCACAAGGATTACATTGCAACGATTTGATTCGCAGCTACGATGTCTCCGCTCACCTACGTGAGGTTCATGGGATTCACGGGCCAGACAAATCTCCCGTTACCTGCCGATGGCAATCTTGTAATAGGGGTCTCGAGAAGGAGACTCTTGCGAGGCACATCGAGGAAATTCACGTGGGGATTGTATACAGGTGCCAGTGCGGAGATACATTCTCGCGCAAAGATACTCTCAACAAACACAAGACAAAACTTCAGCATTAAATAGGGAGTCTTTTGATTGCAAGGTATCCCGTACTATATGCCAAGATTTCAGTTAGAGTATCTATTGTCTATGGTACTTATGATCCGACGTACTTTTAGTTTCTTATGTGCTGTTTACCCTGATATTTCAATTCAAGTATTTTCTGAACAACGAATTGGTGCAAGTTTATCAATTTTGCAAGTTCCGCCGTGATTTCTATACTCGCCCGCTATTGAAGTCGAGGGCAAGTTATTCACAGATTACAGAAACCAAGCTGAAGGATGTAATTCGATGATTCAAAGCTAGATGGAAACTACCCAGGGGGATAGAAACACTGAGTGCAGAGGATCAGACAAGAGTAACGAGTAGAAGCGTATGGGATTGGATGAGTACAAGAGGACGATGCCTCATACATGCGATGCGAACCCGATATAAATAGGAGTTAGTACAAATAGTATCAAATAGCGCACGGTGTCCAATCAGAGCGCGTCAATGAGTAAGCTTCGCTTACACTAGAGTAGATAAACTGATTCGACCAAAACTCATGCACTGGTCTTCTGAATACTCTTGTACAAATGTGAAGATGTCTCAACTATGGAAAGGTCCGGTTTACACCGTAAAAATTAGTAAACAATATTTGTGGCATTAATTTTGAAGTATAACTTGCGGATTAAGCTTCACATTGTGAAACGTTAAAACTGACTCGTTCAAGCTTCACAACACAAGTAAATTTTACTGAACAGTGACACTGATATCCTGACCGTACTCATCCACAGGCTCATAGACTTCCGGCGGGTATGATCACCTCCCTGAAGACTCAGACCCAATAGCTTCAAGTTCACCAACACATCATGTTGAAACCAGCGTTGTTTCAAATTGCGTCAACAAGTCCAAATGCCTTCTGGAACCATTCTTGGACCCGGATGTATTCGTAACGTCCAGCTTAATGAAGTCTGGCTGGCGCAGGGTGACGACAACTTTGTGGCCTATGATCAATTGTTGCTCCAACACTGGGTTGGGAATGAAGAGGTCCGCATCCAATGAGGCACATCCACCCAATTCCCATTTCAAGTTTAACGGACCAGGACTTGTCGACTGTGACATCATTGGTGGAGACCGCAAGCTCAGTGGAGATCGTCAACTGTCTTCGCCTCTCCATTACTGTATGCTTCGATGCTCGGGGACTGAAGTTGCTTTCTTCCAAGGGACCGATGATCAAAGGCAGTAATACCGTCAGGTAGCCATGAATGATCCCATGATCCTGGCACATTCCTAGCACGAGTTGCGACCTTAAGGTCGATAAAGAACAAGCCACTTTGCTGTTATGACGTTGCAAGGCCGCGAAGGACGATGGATGAATGCTCGTCAACAAACGGCGTTGAGCTGAAGACAGCCTTGTCACTCGTCCTCTTCTTGGCAAGACATTCGGAGGTGCAAAACGTTCGATCTCGCGGATGGATCGCGATTGATGATACAAATATCCTTCGCGTTTATTACCATACCCTCGGAGCAGTGAGTAGCAGCATGCCAGCATCTGTAGAGCCCTATGGCTGCTCCAGGATACCTTTTACACGAACGCTGACGAGAACCCTTTTTGCTCGTAATTTTTGGAAGACCATCGACCTTTTGGCGAAAACTGTAACCACATTCGCGATTCATATTCACAGGTACTCTTGGAGCTGGCAGGAGCATTTCCTAGGTTTCGAATTTTACTCGGTTTTCCCTATTCTCGAATATGCATCGAGATCCATTGAACCAGCTTATGAAGACCTCGTTACTATTTTGCCGGAAGTCAGTTAACACGGGCATATGAGACTGCTGGGCTAATTGCGCACATTCATGAGCTGATAATCTCTTGCACCATGTATAAGTTTCTTCTTTCTCAAGTCCAATGTAATCTTCTGTACATGCTTACCACGTTTTGCGGCAGCGACAAGGTGGCTTCTAGAAAAGCTTCTGGCCGTTTCAATTTCGTAGGGCGAGCAAGTCATTTGTCTCACGAGGCGCAGGCTCGGGTTAAGAGTTTGTCTGCGGGGACACGGATTCACGGTCACTATTGCAGTGATTCGGCCCATCCTCAGCTGAAGTAGGTAGGGGAATCAATAATGCTCACCTTCAAATCGAATCTTTCGTGCGTCCCCCATACACCATTCTGAAAAAATGTATTGTCTTGATCCAATAGGCGTCTATGGAGAGCATCTTGCATCGTTGGGGTGCGTAGTTGCGGTGACATGGCACCCGAGCTGATCAGATCGCTCACAGTTCCGTCGATGCTGCTATTCGACGGGGTTTTAACCAGTGAGGATATGATCAAAGCAGGATCGCCTCGAGAACTCTAGGATCACGCGTAAGCCAAGTGTTGACGCCCCGATAACGTCAACGACTAATTTTACCACGCGCGTTTGTACACGGTGTCAAGTTTGTTTATTCTCCTGGTTTTGGAATATGAAATATGATGCCTGTACGCCTCCTCTGCCTCCTACTTGGTCTGCAGCCGTTCGTTGGCCAGTTCACGGGTGGCAACCGTAATGGAAGTGCTCCTAGTCCTGGCGTGGCATGTTGGCCTTCTCAACCAAGTTATGCTTTTTGCGGATAAACTTTGTTTCTCTAGGTTTTTATGCATGCGTACTCCCCAGCGACATTGATACTCGTGGATGACACGCTTCTCCGAACGCCAAGGCTATTGGAAACACATTTATTGGTGGCTATGATTGGCCTTGCAACCAATCGGAGGATCTTGCAGTCCAAGATACAATTCCCTGGCACCCCACCAGGCTGCCAACCCATGAGGCTCATGGCTTTTTGCAACGGTATCCTGCCCGGAAAACTCGTCCAACATATAAAGCCACCCATCTGACGCTTCAAACACATTTGTCACAACTACCGCCTCCAACACCCGCTCGTCGTACAACCACGCAAAAAACGAATCTTTCTCAATGCCGGAACCTGTAAGCTTCAGTCCTCATACTAGTTATCAAACTGACGCTCACGACCGGGCTATTTATTCAAGAACTTGTACAACTGTCAATGGAGCGGACTAGATGGCGCGCCCTGCGACTACCCATTTTTTGCTGACGAGCTTTCTGCTCACCTCCGCGAATTTCATGGAGTTCGAGGTCCCGACAAGTTGCGCATGCATTGCTTTTGGAATGGTTGCAACAAGCCGCTCAACAAAGAGAGCATCTATAGGCATGTGGAAGAAATGCACCTCGAGATCGTATATCATTGTGACACCTGCGACAAATCCTTCACCCGCAAGTACAATCTCAAGAATCACAAGGCGAATTGCCCGGTTCAGCAGCAGTAGATGTGAGATCCATTCATGACTCCCTCCCGCACATACCTGACTGATTCGCAATTTCAGGGTCGTTTCGGTACTTCACGAGATGCCGGAAAAGGGAACCATGTGATGGATATTCAACAACGGATGGAAATTTATCTAGCTGATTTCGTTCAAGAATGAGAACGACCTTCTGCCTCCTAGCAAAGACTGATGGCGGGAGATATTCCGGGGGATAGGTCATCAACTACAACTCGTCGTTCCTTTCTGATTATGAGTTAATAGTATTACTGCTGATTCTTGTATGGAACAATGCACTAGTAGCAGTATAAAGTATGTTCATGCCACTGGTACTTTGACGGGCTTCGAGCTAGATCCATGGACTGGATCCGAGTGGCTGGTCACTGGTACCGTACAGTTCTAACAGCTGTGTTCACCGTTATACATTGCGTACTATAGAGATCAGAATTTGTGCAGTGGCCCCACTCTATGCGACGCCCTTTCAGGCGTTGGTGGGCATGTCGATGGCACGACCGATACGTGTTGTGGATATTGGGATCCGTGGAGAGCAGGTTTTGAACTCGGATATTGTCGTGCATTTCACACTTTCCCCAATTCAAATGTACGAGTCCTCATGGCGCTCAAGTTCTGTCTGTTCGTGGCTGGTCATCGTAACGCTAGCAGGGAATTTCAAGAGCCCGCATGACTCGTATAATGGTCCAAGTGCTGTGCTGGAAACCAAAGACATATATCCACTCTAACGATCGTCGGGTACTTACAACCTTAACCCGCACTGGCAACACTCGTCGGCTACCATAATGCATACGTCGTTCACGAGTACCTCCATCTGCTAGTGCGACAGACGACTCTGAGAAAACTAAATTGGTTAAACCAGTACTTTCAAATTTTCGAGGACAGACCTCGTCAGCAAGGAGTACTACTTACTGGGGAGCTAGGCCGAACCAAGCATTGTACACGATGTTTGAGCCAACGCTTTAGTACAAGCACTTCATGTGTTCGATCCCCGATCCCATTACGAAGCTCGAAATCGAACTTCTTGAAAGCCGTAAGCTCTGAGTATACTAGTACGGTATTCGTTTGCCTCTGAATCGCCCACCTCTGGAGAAAACTGTGACAGTACGCACTTATGAAATCCTGTCCCATGTACTTTGACTGATGACTTGGGATGGGGACATTGCGCTCCTGCACGCCTTCATTTGTATCGTGCCCGTGATAATATTGCCGACTCTGTGATGGAGCAGCCTTAGTCTGCGTCAAGTCAGGACAGAAGATGAGCAATTCATTGGTGTCGAGGATTCACGATACGAGTCTATGAATTCAGCTACCTGCGTGGCTATGCAGCCATACAGATGGGCATTCGAGTTTTCTTTTCTCGCCCCTAGTCTCCAATGTCTGTGTTTACCTGAGGATGGCATCACACGTTCACCTGCAAGTATATCACGTCAGGATGCATGCAGATTGATGTCAGGCCGATCAAGAAATGCATAATAGATGTAACGGGCATCCATTCTGTATCCGAGTCGGCCCGTACCGTGTATCCTTATCAAAGTACCGTCCGATGACCGCAGCAGAGAGGGAGGATGTGTGCATGGGGTTACAGATACTGAGGACAAATGGACGAACTGAAGGGATATTAGGTATCCAAGATTATACCTGGGTGGGGGAGGTGAGTCACGGTTAATGTCGCGTAGTTGGAACTATTCTATTTGGCTTAGCTGGTATCCCTTCCGACAGTGACAGATGCAGCGAGTATCCTGCAACCATGCCTCCTATCCGTCAAATCAGCTACACTCATATGTAGGGGTGAGTAAGATTGATATGTGGTTAAACCTAACAGAATGACTGCAACAGTGAGTGTTTTTGGGGTGGTGATCGCGGCTAACCGAATGTTTTGTGGAATATCATGTACTCTGCAATAGATTGAACAAATCTGGTCACAAGCTGGGCGGTGAGCGCGGTGAGCACTGAGGCATCGAAACAAGCCTTGGCTTGCGCCGCTCTATGTCTGAATTATCATTCGGAGTTGCAATTTGAGCATTGCGGATGGATCGCGATGATGACAAATTTGCCAGTGTCGTTCAACATGCTGATGACTAGTATGAGCTCAGACGAGATTCCTTTGAGTCCCAAGCTTCAGTTCATTTCATTCTTGGATACCATCGACCCTTTGGCAAACTTGTGCATGTTGCGACTCTGAAAACGGGCTAGCGGAACCGCAGGTACCTGTCGAGGATTCAACATACCACAATTTTTATTCGTCGACCGAGCTATCTGGCAGCCAGGTTAAGAACAGATGAGAAAGGTCTCTCAGAAATCTTTGCTGATTTTACCTCGTGACAAAATGTTCTTGTAATGTCCTCGGGTGATCATCTCAACAATGGTTTGATGTCAATGATCATGAGGGGCCGGGTTCCAAAAGGGCTTTGATCATCCTGACACTGTAGGATCGTGGATTTTGCCTGCCTGACAAATTCCAGCTAGAAGTCAAGAATTTATTCAAAACTTGAAGGTAATCATAATGAATTCATGGTTACTCCTGCATAAATATCCCCTATTTTTCAGCTGAGATCGGACATCGAGGATACAGCGATGCTCACCCGCAATCGGGTTTTCATCACTGCTATCATAAAGTAATACGAGACGATGCAGGTTCGGCTTACTGCATTTTTGCAACAAGGCCCTGGATAGCGTTTCCGAGTCGTCGTCACGCCGAGGAACATTCACTGGCAAATAGTGCACACAACTACTGCAGTAACACGATGATGCGCCTGCCTCTCACCAATTCGAGAGCTGATGAGGTCACTCGGTGAAGTTTTGTCAATGCCATTATCCAATTGTCTTTATTGCCAGTAGGGCTACCCAAGTCACTGATCATATCAAGGAAAGCTCGTGCCTGTGTGTGATTCCGAGCTACTAGTATTATTGGCGTCTAAGAGCGTTAAATAAATTACCACGCATTACGTACGTGGCCATCTTTTTTTCTTCTTGTTTGTTACCTGGACTCTTTGACATCGCAGCGCGACTATTGACTTCTGACTCGAATTTTTGGTCTCAAGGTGGCCCTTGGCCTGTTGGCACTTGTAATGGAAGCCACATCCTAATCCTGACATGGCACGCTTGGCCATCCTCCATTCCTCACTGTCGTCCAAACCATGTTTCAAACGGCCGAAAATATTCAATGCTTCTGGAATTCTTGTAATCCGGCGTATTTGACATTGGTTCCGCACCGCTTCGAGGCCTGGCTGATGGCGGCATCTGACACACGTTAATCACTTCACCGCCCAGGCGCCATGTCTGACACCTGACGCATATCTCACTAAAGTCATCACTTTACTGTCCAAGTGCCATGTCTGACGCCTTCACTCGTGGAAGAGATCTCAGCTCGGAGGAACGGTACTAAGGCCAACTGATGCATATGGTTTTGTCTATCAAATCAATGAAACGTTCACCGACCAGGCGCGGTCACCTGGCTCCCTTCCGGCCAACATTACGGCTTGTAGTCCCCTCCAGGCTAGGATTCGGAGAGTTGGAACGATGGGCCTTCTTGCAAACTTGCTTTGAATAAAAGGCATACTGTCAGCTCCAATATGAAGCGAGCACCACCTCAACTCTACTATGGCCTCATCTTCAGCACAGCAGGTAGTGTTTGTTCTGCTACTGGACCCCGCAGCGGCTGAATTTTTGTTTTATAGCCATTCCATTATCTCACCGAGTTATTCCAATGCCTGTGGGTCGGTGAATGTGGGTTGCGTTGTAATGACTTGATATATGGGCAAAATATGTCGATTCATCTCCGACAACGTCACGGAATTAGGGGTGCCGATGACCTGCGCGTCCAGTGCTGTTGGAGGGATTGTGGCATTGAGTTGAATAAGGAAAGCCTTACACGACATGTGCAAGCAAAGCATCTCGGTATCATGTATCCTTGCGACACCTGTAATCAGGTGTTCACGCGTGCAAGCAACCTCGAAGGGCACAAGAAATCCTGCTCACGTTAAATGTCAGGACTTGATTTCTCTCATGTGAGGCTATCGCTGATTCTTCAATCTCAGGGTGTGATGAGTGACGTCGCTGCAATAGTGATTTGAGTTGTTAGATGCTGTGCATCTAACAATGCTGGCAGGCCGCAGGACCGGCAGACTGAGGCGGGAAAACCTCACAGATGAACGAAGAAATGGATACGGGTGTCCTCTCTTCTAGATCCCTGTTTTAATATATATGCCTGTATACTGAATGGGCCAAATTTTAGATTTAGAAAAAAACGTCGGAGCGGGTTACTGAGTGTTACAACACTTTAACTTATTGTTTGACTGGTTGATTCTCATTTCAGTGTCGCACTTGCGGCATTTAGCATGTCATCTCGAGGTCAATTGTTTCTTTTTGTGGATTCATGTACCACGTACAGCGTCAGGATGTCATTTAATACCCTGCAGGGTACCAGTAAGATGTCGGTGTCGATTTCTTGGCTAGCAAATCAACAGAGCGAATTCATCGAATTGAATGTATATATTGATATCGAGTACTGACATGTTGCCTACCTTCTCTCCAGTCTTTTGTCATGGAAGGGGCTTCTCTTCAGCTGCTCTAATTTGGTGTCCGAAGCATTTAAGTTTGAAACCCCTATCTGCAATCGGAGTCAGGGTTGCTCGGTGCCTCATACTATAGCTACTCAACCACAGTACTAGCTACTATACTTGCGGGTTGAAATGTTGACGGCCTTTCAGGCATAGTCTTACTTGGGCGGTAGGTATCTGTTCTGTTTTTTTCAAGAAAAAAATACCACCCACACTTGTAGGATAGCTCATTGGATTGATACCCTCGGACCGAGAGGCATATTCTACAACATCAATCATACATCTTATAGCCATTTGTTGAGATTCAAGTTCAATGGCAATTTCTTCTGTCAATCATCTCCTTGTCGAGCTGTTGAACTTGCTGACATTGATGTTGTACGACGGGATACGTACCGGAGGTGACCCTAGATGTAGGGCATCATCGCCGATAGACTCGAGCGACATAACGGCAGCCCTTTTAAGGTTGTGTTTCGTTGGAGCAGTGGCGGCGACGCCGAGGTGAACCACCGATATTCTCATATTTTGTGAACCGAAACATTTGCTCCTTGCTATAAATGAGCAAAACTTCTCAACCGAGTGTGAATTGATGTGATTACATTACTTTAGATTTGATCATACATATATTGATTTGAAACCGCCATATCTTAGACTAAGAATGCATGGAAAACGTTTCCAGCCCCCAGTCTGACAAGCTGAGAAGCGACAGCATTAATTTGAACCCAAGTAGCCCGCAAATATTATGGGAAGCATAAATCGACAAGCTGAAACGGATAAATTATGTGTTGT